AGGACCCTCTCGAACCAAGAGTGAGAGAGCAATCCAAAAATCAGAATTTCTAGCAATCTCAGAAAAGTGATCTTATCACCAGAAGCAGCAATCTCTCGGCAGGAAATGAAGAGATAGGTGATAAGCTGGCGTTTGAGTTTGGGTGAACGGAAAATTGATCACCAAAAATACTGATGATAAAAAATCACGTGGTCGAAAAAGATCAATTGAAGAAGATCATTTTCATTGCTGATTTAGCCTATCAAAATGCCAGAAAATTCTCTCAAGCCAATCAAAGTTGTTGAATTTAGACTCTGACCAATCAAAATTGACATTTTCGACAATCAAGTTTTTTAGGCTTTTGGAGTCTAAAAATGGTATTTCGAAAAAAAGTGTCAATTAATAAATTCTCACTGTCTTTAATTCTAACTCCTGTTGGTTAATGCTTACCTCTGACAAAAGCAATACCTTCGAAAATGGAATGTCATGATTCTATCAATTGCCGGACGGGTTCTGTCGCCCGAATTTATACGTGAAGACGAAACGCATTAGCATTTTTTCCGAAACCCACCATCTACTATTCATTTTTGTCCGACAGGAAGAAACGATCGATAAAAGACAACGTAGCAATCGCCGAGCAACGTTCAGGATCTCATTTAGATAGCGATTCTTTCTTTGTTTCTAGCGCTAAGTTCAGAGGTCGAATTAGTAGGCTATGATAACTCGTGCAAGGTTATTTTGGTCAGTGTTTGAAATAATGGTCAAAACTCTCGCGAGCGAGTGAGCGCGAGCGGAGGCCCCCAGAATTTAAACATGAGTGAGCACGCGCGAGCGGACCCTTTTGATTCTTTTCGTGAGCGAGCGAGTGCGAGCGCAGATACCGGGATTTTTCTATGAGTGAGCGAGTATGAGCGCTCGCTCGCTCGCTTGCGCTCACTCGCAGCTTTTCAGCAACGTTTTGATTGAGTTTTTTCCTTAAAAATTCTAATGCTTTTTAGTTTGAAGGACTTAAACCTATCATAAGTTGATAATGAGTATTCTAACGAAATAAAAAGACAATATCAAGATAGATCTCATGAATATTAAATGACTTTGTCTTGATAGTGAGTTCACAAAAATAACTGTGAGCGAGCGCGACTGAGCGCAAGCAGGAACCTTGAAATTTTATGGTGAGTGAGCGAGCGCGAGCAGAGGTTTTCAAAATTTGAGTGAGTGAGTGAGCATGAGCGCTCGCTCACTCGCTCGCGCTCGCTCGTGGCTCGCGCTCACCATTTTTTCAAACACTGATTTTGGTTAAGTTTATTGGACAGTCAGTGATATTTTGTAATTATTTTTTGTTACTGAAAATTTCGAGCGATAATGGTTAAGAATTCAGAAATAGCAAGGAATCATTTTATACAGAATTATTTAATATTTTTTAAAAGCAAAAATAGGCTTCATAGTGATAACGGGAGAGAATTTTCTAAAGATTCATTTTTTGACTAAAATTTTCAAGTGATGCGATATTGCTATTTTTCGTATTTATACCCTGTTCTTTACCGATAAGAATCAGGTCATCTATATTTCACATCGATTTTGTAGCCTGCGCATTGTCGATAAGAATCATTCCAATTTTTGCAACAGATGGCCTTTCAGATGTTATCTCACATGTCCTTGAACGAACCATTTTTGGCTAGTCAGTTTTATTTTTAAGATCTTATAAAATTGACACCGAAACCAGTATAGGAATTCAAGTAAATAACGAATCATTTTATGCGAAAAAATTATATTTTTGAATTTTCACGGATAACGGTACAGAATTTCGTCAAGATTCATTTTTTGATTGTTCTAGTGATGCCATAGTGCGTTTTTTGTATTTATACCCTGCTTCTTGCCGATAAGAATCAGATGACCGTCTTTCTAGTACAGATGGCCTTCCAGATGTCAATAAACGAACCATTTTTCCCAGAGAATTGAAGCTTACATCAGCAATCATTCAAAATTCAATCAGAGTATTACTCTGCTTATTCCCGTCAATTTTAGTCAACCTCATAAAAAAGCTGCTCAATAATCAATTCGCATTACAACCAGGTTTTATGTTCCTGCCAGATGAAATCTGCCCGAATCTGGAACAAGTTAAAAGTCGCATGTCTCTTAACCATGATAGCGAGAAAGTAAAAATTCAGTATTCAAATTTATTGATTTTCAGAAACATTTGTCGCTGATATTCTTCCACGAGGTCATCGGACGAGTCCCTAAATTCGGATCTTCTGTCCATTCAATCGACGTGCAACCAATTACAACAATCATCAAAATGAAGAGGAACAAGACCGTCAGTTTCGCTAAGAAGAAAAATAAAAAAATATTTTTTTTTCCAAAATCAAAATCGATTTAGCTCGACTAAACAAGCAGCTAGGGCAATTCAAATCGCATCTGGATTTGGAGGGCCACGTGCGTAAGCCGACACGGTTTTTGATTTTGGGCTTACCTATCACTAACGCGATCGTAATAGGTTTGCATTGTGAGAAATACATCTTATTATAGGCATATTTTTATAAAAAAAGAGCATTGAAAGACAATAGCTGATTCTAGGACTGGGCTCGGCAACCTGAGTAAAAAACCTGAGTCGGGGTTAACAAGATATCAAATGAAAAGCCGCGTAGCGGCTTTTTTAAAATCAAAGCCGCGAAGCAGCTTCGCCAGAAGTTCATAATAAGATTGAAGAGTAATATTGCGAAGCCGCTTCGCGGCTTCGTTTTTAAAAAAGCCGCTACGCGGCTTTTCATTTTCGATTTTTATATCCTGATTCAGGTTTTAAACTCAGGTTGCCGAGCCCAGTAGGATTTGTGTAAGCCATTCCTTCCAGTGAAAAAATCTGGAGTGTTCGCATTTGCCATCAACGCATTTCTCAGTGAAGTATTCATGTAATTCTTTCGGACCCTGAAACACCAGATTATCTAATGTATTTCCCGCGTCTTACTTCATCTCCCTTTTCTCGAGTTCCATTTTCGATATTTTCAGCTTTTGCTTCTGGTATCGTAGGAATGTCTTTTCGCGTGGATCAAAAAAGGGACACCTGCAATGAGTCGCATTTGACAAAATTTCGCGTCTTTTACATCGGCTTTTGGTGTTGCCAATACGTACTGATTAATTTTAGAACATGTTTAAAATGACCTACTTTACATTGAAATTTTGAGAACGAAGGAGTCTTGGACTAGGCTCGGCTACCTTTGTATACTCTGAGTCAGGTTCAGATACAGCAAAAATAAAAAGCCGCGTAGCGGCTTAAATAAAGGGAAGCCGCGATGCGGCTTCGTAAACTTACTGTTTCAATATGATTTGAATTTTTGGCGAAGCCGCTTTGCGGCTTCGTTTCTAAAAAAAGCCGCATAGCGGCTTTTCATTTTTTCTCTTTCTGAGCCTAACTCAGGTTTGGTTACAGGTTGCTGAGGTTTGGTCTTGAATTAGGTACTTATTCGATAAAACGGGGTAGTACCCCCTTAGAAGTCGCTTTGAGAAGCGATATGTATCTCTTTCAACGTATTTTGACAGTGTAACTCGTGCGCTATAATTTCACGCATATCTCTTTAGCAGGAGACCGTAATTACGCTCCTCCATCAAGTTTTTAGCCGTTCTTCTAGCTGCATTGAAAAAACTTAATCGCTCAACGTAAACAAGCGAAACTCGATTCTAAAACCAGGGAAGGGAAGAAAAATTGAGTACTCAATTTTCCGAGAAGCTTCTTATTTTCTTCTGAGAGCGGAGATTAAATTCTCATCAGAGCATGAGTTAACCGCCGGTTTGACCTTGGAGCGTAACGGGAGCAGTACTTCTTGGGCTAGGTGGTAATTACGGTCGTTTGGAATTTCTTCTTTCTAAGCTATAAATTTTTGATCCGCGGCTGAGAGAGGCAGTTCAATTGGCCCGACGGAGTTTGCTGCTGCTGTTGCCATCGATTTTGGAAAGAGACTGAACATCAAGTTACATAGATAGTGATTGTTTGGATAGATGTTATATTGTTGTTGTTTGTTTATCATGTAATCCTTGTTTTATGCTGAAAAAGCGATGTTTTTGGAACATATGTTTGAAACGTGAATTGAATGGAATCGAATCTAAACCTGGCTGATTGTTGCCCGAGCTGACCATTTGGTAAATTTCCTTTGTAAGGTTTATGGTTTGAGCAGACTAAAAAGCCCAATTCGGAACCCTAACTTGAAGAGAACTTCTGGTCGCGGCGCCTAGACTCATTCTCTCTAATTCATCGTTACGGCGAAAGAGCCCATGCAAAAACATTTAAGCACAAAAGCGGCTTCTGCACGGTTAAGTTTATTCTCCCGCGCTCAGAACAGTAAGGATAGTGTTTCACCTTCATTTTTGATTCAGAATAACTCACGTTTTTTGACGCTTACTGACTCTAAATTGCAAGTAAACTCTGAAAAAAAAAATAAACTGTCGAAAGCGTTGTTTTTTGAAAAAAGTGTTTTACGACCTTGCTACTCTTTGCAAAACGCTCCTCGTAAATCCGAAAGATCAAAAGACCAATTTCCTTTACTTATAGCTAAAGTTGCTCCTTGTAAATAAATTTTGCCAGAAGTGAATTTATTTGGCAGTGTCCTCCGCGCGCGGAATTATCCTCCTGATCTTCTCCTTGGATTTATGGGTCGTTCGAAGAAGCGACGTAAATTTCAATAACTATTTTCCTTTTTTGTAACGTTGAGTGCGGTAATTTCAAACAACATGTATCGCTTTACTACCGGTCGACAGGAAGCTGTTTGATTGTAAAGAGGCGGAGCCCAGTCTTTTTTTCTGGAGAATACGCGCTACTTCCACCGGTAAAATGGAGATTTAGGGTTTCAATACTTTATTGAAAGCGGATTTTGTTAAGTGCAATAATAAGGGGCTTGAATCGATGAATAAAATAGACAGGAAAGTAAATGATTCTTCGGCAGGTCTTTGTCAAAATTGGGCTTGAGGATGTCATGGCGGGGTTTTTGTCAGGAAAAAAGGCACTTGTTCGTTGTTGATGTATTTTTCTATTAAAACTAGCCCTTTAGCGTTAGGACAATGTTGTTGTTGGTAGCTGCAACCAGGTATCTTCCAGAGGCAGGAGTGGCAAGGTCGTTGATGATGGTTGCTTCTAGCGGCACTTGTTCTAAAAATGAATTATCGGGGAGTGGGATGATTGGAGGAGTACCAGTAGTGGTTCGTTTGACAATCGGCCAGGGAATGACTTCTTTTGGCTCTTGGAATTCTGGACTATCGTGAGATAAGTCCGGCTGAACATATATACTGAAGAAAGAAATAAGAATGCTAACGAACCTCGTATTTCCAAATTTGTCCATCTTCATCGCCTGCGTAAATCTTTCCCTTGCACGCGAAGCAATTCAAGTAGACTTTGTCCGTATTTGACCAGTTGAGAACTTTCACTGGTTCGAGGTGGTATTCTTCTCCAGTAGCTCCTTCAATTTCGCTCTCCACGCCTTCTAGCGTCCAGATGAAGATGACTCCTGAATCGGCCACTTTCGTTATCATGTGATTTTTATCCAACTGCTCGATTGAGTCGACAATGACAGTATCCGGTAAATTTGGGTGGTAGAATTTCGCCGCGACTTCTCGCTTTTCTTTCTGCGCCTTTTCCGCTCCCCGAATGTCCCAAACTCGAACACCGTGATCCGTCGAGAGGAATAACGCGCTCAGGCCGCTGTTCAAATTCGGCAGACACATCTTGACCGGCGAGGAGGATTCTAATCCGTGCAATTCCATCAGCTTCTGGCAGCTTTTGGAGTTGGTGTTCACGCGCCACGCAGAAATGACGTTTTTAGACGGGTCGTTCAAGGCGGGAGCGATGAACAGCAGCTCTGGGTGCTTTGGAAACGCAAATTTCACGGAATTGATAACTCCCAGTCCTCTGATCGCCTTGATTCGGTGAATGCAGTGGCCTGTATGCGGCTTCATAATGTAAACCATTCCGAACTTTCCTCCAACAGCGATCATCGTCTCCATTTGTAGCAGTGGATTTTGAGGATCTACTGACCAAGAGCAACAGAATAAACTCTCTTCTGGTTCGATGAATTTGCTTTGAACTCTCCCCGTTTTTGCATTCGTGAAGCAAAGAGCATCACCACCGCAGGATGCAAAGATATGAGTTGTTTCATTGTTCTTGATGACATCAGGCTCAAATTCCACCGCCCAGAGGGCAACATCGGTCTTTTTTGGATGCTGGGAGTGGCACTGGAGGGCGCTCAAGGGAGTCCACTTGCCCGTAGGTGTGTTCGTTGTTGGAACGCCAAGCATACCGCGTTTCTTTTTCAAGTTCTTGTAAAAATCATTTTCGGTGGAAACTTCTTCCTCTGCTGATTTTACTGGAGCGTCGGAGTTGATGATGTCGGTGGCGATTCGCTCTGCCAGCCAAGTTCGGAAATCTCTCAAACTAAAAAAGTTTACTGAATGATTCGGAATCTGAGATTCTACCTTTTCGGCCCCGCCGGTGTTCTCCTCGCTCTCTTCAAAAACTTCTCCTGTCCAATTTCCTCCGCGAGTTCATCCTTAAACTTCTCCGCCGCGAGTTTTGTCAAGTCCCTCGTCAAAGTTTTCTTGATCGTGAAAAACACGTCGTTTTCTGGAACCGTCTCTCCGTCGAGCAATTTCAACTTTGGAACTAACTCGCGGATTTTGAACCGTTCATTGATGTCCAGCGCTGGGTTTCCTCGTGTGTCGATTTCTTCCAGCGTCCAAGACATTTCCGCGTCCAGGGGAAAGGCTTCGAGGCAATTGTGGCTGATGTTGAGCACGCGGCAGTCGGAGAAAGTCAAGTCGGGAAACTTCTTCAGCCGATTGCCACTTACATCGAGAGTATCAAGGGCCACCAATTCCGAGAGAGCGTCTTTTCCATCTTCAAAATCCGCGTCGCTCAGATTTTTGTTTGACAAGTTCAAGTTCTGAAATCAATTTTCTAAGTCTCAAATTGTCTCAGATACAGTTTCTCCCCGTAAAATAGACTTTAAACTACTGTTAATTGATCGAAACTTTACCTCAATATTAGCGATTTGTTTTCCGGTCAAACTCTCCAAAAAACTCTTCGTAATCATTCTCCCTTCTTTCCAATTTGTAAATCTCTTTTTTATGCTTCGTAAAAACGCGTAAAATCGGTGTCAAAAAGTCGGAAATCGATGAAATCTCCAGCGCGGGATAAGCTCCTCGCGCTCAATAGCCCGAGTCCACCAATTATCGACAGTAGTTATAGTAGTGACCCGCATTCAGCCAATTTCTCTTGCTGCTCATTGGCTCGCTGTTTCGGAGCACTGTTCCCTGGCACTCACGCTGCTCAAGGCGAATTTGTTCATCAGATTCCGTATGTACTCATAATTAAGCATATTCATATATTACGTAATAGTTACATAATTATGCATATAATATTCACATATGCATATAATATTCACATATGCATATAGATGACGTAATAGTTACGTAATCGTAAAAATGGCTCAAAAACTAAATGCTGTTCATTTAGCTTCGTCGCCGAGCAAACTGAGCTGAATGTTGGGCTGCAGCTCGACCCTGATACCAATGCTCCATATCGACCCGAAGAACGAACCATTCGTTTATACTGTCTACAAATTGACTCGCAGTATCAAAAACCATAACAGGTATATCGATCGTGTTGCTTGCTACTGCTATTCACCTCGACTCTTTGCTAAAATGTAACACAATCATATTCATAAAATTAACCTGCTCCGCCAATAATAATTTAGCTATGTCGAGCTACAATCTGACTCTATACCAAAAGGTTACGCAAGATGCTGGCAACTCTCAGCCTGCTTTCATACTGTAAGTAAATCAAATTGAGTGCTCAACCAACTAGTAAATTTCTAGCGATCGGTGCTACAAATCGATTGGCAACACAACTTTGTCGCAAAAAAGTTTCGGTGCTTCTTTTACTACTGCCAAAGCTGTAAATTTACCAAACTACAATACAGTAAAAACATTTAGTAACACATGCATGTATTTATTGATCAAGTGGAATAGACAGAGTCGTCATGCATTTGAGCAGGTGGGTAGAGTATTTGAAGCTGTCAAAAGTATTCTGCACAATATTAATCTGTTCTTGCTTCTGAAATTCAAAGGCAGTGTAGTATCGATCTTCTTTGAGCAGGGCAGCGACGACTTTCAAATTGGCAGCTTGGTGTTGAGCAGTTTCTGCATATTTTTCCATAAATATCTGGTAGCTTTTTACGGTAACTGGCGAGTAAAAGGTCAATTCCGGCGAGATGGGTTTTTGGCGATTTCCGACGTGCATGGCAGAGCGGGTTGCGCGGGTGCAGCTGTCGACGTTGATTCTCATTATGTCAGCGTATTCTAGTCGGTCCTTGGGCGTTTCTGGCGGCGGCATTTCTCACTATGTTAGAAAAAAATTAACCTCAAGTTTGCAACAATTGCCACAGTTGCGTAAAATTTATAAAAAGCTTTAAAAACTTGCGTTTATGGTTCCTGCCAAAAGCGCAACAAATTCTGTTTTCTGCTTTCTAGTGGAGACAAAAATCGAACGATGGCGATCGAGATCGGCACCGTATAAAATAAAATGCAATTTCTGAATTCATACAACAAAAATGAAATATTAAAAAAGATAAAATGAAGCGCTAGTTTTTCACTCGCATAATAGATAATAGAAGATTAAAAAATGAAACCTGTTCTCGAAACACCTGAAACTTGAGCTCTGCTACAAACTTACCATGTTTATTAATTGAATAAAATCAACAAAAAATTATAATCATCGCATATATTCGTCCTCTTCGTTGTCGTCCAAATGGTAGTGGATATGAAACTTTTCGAGGCGTTCTGCGAGCTTGTCAAATTCTGAATTGTCAACTTTTTTGATACCCAATTGTTTAAACAAGTCAAATGTGTTGTTTGAGAAAAGTTTAAAGTTGTTATTTCGACCTCAATATTTTTTTAATAAATGCAGAAAAAAATGATTTTACCTTGGTTAAACATTACCTGTGTTGAAAGTGGTCGATTTCCGCCCGTTACACTGACTTTTATACTGTTATTCCGTACTTTTTCAAAAATAAGTTGGAATCATTTGCGATTCCTTTTTTTATCACTTTCAGTGTTGCTTGGGCTGTGATTCGAACTCGGGGCCCCTAGAAGTTTGTCGGCGTATGGTTTAATGACCCTCGCCACCTGGGTCGGGCATTTTGAGTCAAATTCCCGCAATTAAGGGACGCGCTAGTGCCTCGCGCTCTATCTCCATCTCAAATAAAATCTTTTTAAGTGCTACTTGTAAAATATTTTTACTTGAAAGATGGCAAATCTACCAAGCAGCAAACCAATTCCAGACTATGCAAGCGCCTTGCCGGCAGATTGTAGCATCTTTCTGCGCAAAACTGTCGACACCATTGGAGAAAAATGGGCCGATTTGCAGTTGTGGATGATCCTGTACGAATCGGGTAATGTCGAGTGTAAGCGTAACGCTGTCCTTGAGCTAAGCAATATCAAGAACTTTTAAATTTTCGCTTAATATCACTTTTGCTCAGCGACAGCATCTGCTCAGTTACAAATGTCGAGTGTGTACATTCATCGCAATCGCGTCGATCAGTAGTGTTTTTTTCACAATTTCAACTCTACTCTATCTCAGCCATAGCTAATGAAATGTACAAAAAGTGGTTAAATTTGGCCAAGAATGATCTGCTTTTGTACCAAGTATTGAGGCGTTGCGACCGCTCACTGACGAGCGAGAGTCAGTTATCGGCGCAATTTCACAAATTATAAAGTTGACGAGTTTGTTGAAAATGTTGTGCGAGCACAAAATTGATAATGTCGTGGCAGTATTCTCATTTTTGTGTTAAGAGAAGCGGTCTCAGTCTTCCTTGTTGCCAACAAATTTGATCGAAGCGGAGATTGCCTTGGAAAGAGAAAGAGGTATTTTTTCTTCAAAAAAACATTTTTCAGCTGAAAAATTTTAGTCACTTTTGAATTACTTTGCCAAGAACAGCTCAAAGTACGGGCGCGACTTATGAATGCCGTTGTCGAGTATACCCGACAAAAAGGTCTTGCCGCTAAAAGTCTTGCGTCGCCCGATTCAAGCTTCGACGGTTCCGACGATGATGATGACAGCGGCAAAACAAATGTTGTTCCAGAGACTGACGACGACGAGGACGACGCCCAAGTCGACAAGGATGTTGAAAAGTTGATCCAGTTTCATCGCCGACTGCACAACCTCAAAAACAGCTTCCCTATAAGGACAAGCGCTCCTCGTCTGTTGCATGGTGTCAACAAGATTCTCCTCGAGTTCAAACTAGCTCATGGGATGAAATTCGACAAACGAGATATGGCAACTTTGCAGCGCTCCGCCGAGATGTTGAATATAAAAGTAAGCAAGCGAAGTGGCGTCAAGGAGGTGAAACGTATTTATGACATTGTTGAAACGAAATCCATTGCCATGAATCACGAAAACCACTCGAGCCAATCTTTTGTTGAAAGGTGTCCTCATCGAACGATTTCTCATCGAACACTGGCAACAAAGGATATTGAGCAAAAGAAAAAAGATGGCGAAGTTAACACAGATACGATTGATCCAATTGTAACTGATTAATGGCTGGCTTTGATGGATTAGGGGTTGAATACGCACTTTATTTCTTTAATTTCCTTAATGTTTAGTGTTAACTGTTAGTTGTAAATTTTCGGAGATTTCATTGATCAGTTTTGCTTAAAGTAAATGCTACGATTATTTAAAATTGTTTTCGTCGACAGCATAAATCACTCGATAATCTACATGTTTTCTCGTTTCTTTTACTCGCCATTTTAACCCGGTGCTTTTACTCGCCATTTTTACCCACTGCTTTTTATTCGCCATTTTAACCCGGTGCTTTTCCTCGCCATTTTAACCCGGTGCTTTTCATTCGCCATTTTAACCCGATGTTTTTCATTCGCCATTTTAACCCGATGTTTTTCATTCGCTATTTTTGTGTTAAATGTCAAAAATTTTTTTCTTTTCCATTTGGTAATAATTATGACCATTTATTGCTTCGCGGATACTTGCGACAGCTCTGCACATTTGTTAGCTACACCTGAAGATATAAAAACATACGAATAAATGACAGATAAATGCAGTTAGTGCATTCTCTTCAACCCCTTCCTCCCCATCACCACCCTTAAGCGATTGTCCCAAATTATAAAACATTTCAAAAAAAACGCAGTTTTTTCGATTTTAAAAGTTGAGTTCTAGAACTTTTAATGTTGATTTTCTGTTGAATAAAACCATCTGTTCAAAAAAAAAATGTTGATGATTTTTATTTTTAAAGTCTCTAGAATAGGGTGTTGTTCTCAGCAATGTCTATATAAGCGGCCGTTTGAGCGAGCAAGTTTAGTTTTATTTGCTGGCAGCCTTGGTTGAATGTCGCGCAAGAATTCGTACGAGGTACGTCGAGTTAAGCAGGTCAAGTTGTAAGCAGGGTTTAAAGGAAAAGTCTGAGCGTCGGAATCGACGCGCGTCGGGCAGCAAGGTTGAAAAACGCGGTCCACCACCACTTCCCGAGCGAACACCGGCTTCGTACTTTCTGGACGGTACAAAAGTGGTCCACACTCCATCTCGACGATACTCGGCGCGGGATGAACCGAACTACCTCGAGCCCGATTCTCTCGACGAGTCGTTTGCTGCCGCCAACATTTTGGAGCGTTCTGCTGCATCTGCCGAGTCGCTGGCCGATGCTACTTTTGTTGTGCAAGAAGAGCGATCTCCTTCGCACATGCTCAATTTACCCCATGTCGGGTACAAGAAACCACTTCGCCGCGAATCGCGACGCGGCCGACGATTTGGAGACGAGGATGAAAATCCCAACTTTTTGGATCGCACCCGTTCCACAATGGCCGACGCTTCGATGCTTGGAATGACCTCCATCAACGCGTCATCAAATGGCTACTCTGGCGTCGACGAGGAGGAGGAGAGCGGCGACGATTTTGTCCCTTTGGAAGATTGGGAATATGAGGCGTTGGACGAAGCTGCAAAGCAAGTGTACCGTAGAAAGTACTTTGCTTTTATGCACCGTTCCGTCGCTTCTTCCCTTCCCCTGTCTGAGCAGGGCAAGAGAAATGCCGATTTTGCGACGATCTTCTACGGGCCAAGGGCGAAAAAGGCTGGCGACAGCGAGAAGGAAGTTGCTCGATATCGGAGCCTGACAAGCGGACGAACTGGACCCTTCCACTTTCGTCCCGTGTCCAACCGATTTTGCAGGACCACCCATGGCTATTTGATGGTTCCTGACAACCGTAAGTAAAATTGAAATTTTCAAATTTTAATTCTAAATTTTTTAGTCGAGCAGATGTACCCTGATCCCCTCGAGCGAGCGTTCGCCCTCGCCGAGGAAATCTATAAAAATAAAAATGATGAAATGGGCGCAATGTTAGCCGAGATCAATTGCGGCGCCTATGGAGTCATCATTGAAACTCCAACGTGGGTAGTCCCCGTCAAAGACATCGAAGCGGGTTTGGCCGATATCAAAAACACTCCCCGACAAAACCAGTACGAGCATTACGATGAGCGACCGTCATACGACCAGCTCCGACGATGCCGACGACGAATCGCCTTCGACGATTGGCGCCAATAAAAATAAAACTTTTTTACTTGTAACATTTTGTCATTTGTTACAGTAAATAAAAAACAATTATTCTGTTAAATTATAAAAGATTGCTAGTACAATTTACTAGCAATTTTAGCGAGTCCATTTTATTGCAGGCGATTTCGAAAAAAAGGGAAAATCCCAGTCTAGTCTCAGTGATTTTCATTTCGAGAAGTGAGCAGCCGGGCGCAGTGATTTTCATTTCCAGAAGTGAGCGACCGGCGCAGTGATTTTTCATTTCCAGAAGTGAGCAGCCGAGCGCATATTTCGAAAAAGGCGCTAATCGCGATTAATCCGCAATTTTCCAAGGATTGCAAAAATCATTTTTACCAGCCAGAAAGAGAAAATACTGTTAGAGAAATTGCCGGCTATGAGAAAAGGCAGAGTTACGATTAACTGCCCGATTAAAGAGAATATTTTTGCCGGTGACGGACTTGTACAGATATTGCGCTTTGATTTTTTGATTTGGTTGCCTTTTATCTGTTTTTTTATTCTCACGAGTTCAATCTTTTTGGTGCGGCGTAGCGCTGTTACTGTAGTTTCAGATTGAAGGCTCGGAGGCGCTAATGTATCTTTACGATGGTTACCCCGTGCCTCAACCGCAACATCAATCCACTCCAAGCCAACGACCGGGCAGTCCCTCTCGTTCAAGTGCACCTCCTCGTTCGCGAAGAGAATCGCCGACTTCGTCTATTCGCTCTTTGGCATCGGCAGTCGAAAGCCACCCGTTAGAGACGACATTTCTACGACCAGCCACTCCAGCTTCTCGGTAAGTTTTTAAATTGAGAGATAAAATGGGTTATTAAAATTGCTTTTAGTAGAAACATGCCTTTCCACCCATCGTTTGTCGGTCAAGCACCACCACCACCGCCGCCGCAAACGACCGCTGCTACTGATCGCGAGATCAACGATCCTGAGGCTTCTGGTCTTGGACCAATTGGTTCTGGACTTCCCGACGCGCCAGGATTAAATCAAATCCCGATGACGCAGGAAGCTGCGATGCCGACAGCGATGCCAATTGTCGACTCTAGCGCTGCGTTTCGAAATGACGGTCGCAATCAAGGCCCGGCAATTGTAAGTTTTTGCCAAATTGCCCATTTTGATTATTTTGTTTAGATGTCGCCTTTTGGCCAGCGACTTCGATTCGACTGCACATTTCTGATGCTGGCATGTCTCGCTTCCGCCTGCATCGCCGTTTTCATCTACGTGTGCATTGCGCTCCAATCAAAGTGCTTGCCAACGCACTTGGACGGAGGCAGCGAGAATTCCAGCAACGTTCCTGCTCTCTCTCGACGACCGAGCCTTGAGAATGACGAAGGCAACTCACTTGTTGGCGGAAGTGGACGACGACGGCGACGTTCGTTGAATGACAGTCGACGGGGACTCTACCCAGCCTGCGAATGTCACTGCCAGTGCATCGGTGTCACTCGCCAGTGTCCATCCGAGGACGACAAGGACGCCGACGCCGCTCCCAACTCTATCCCAACCGCTCCCAGCCCTTTCCCAACTGCTCTTCCAACCGCGACCCGCGCTTCTGCCGACGCCACTGACGCCGTTGCTTCTGACGAAGATGATGACGCGCGATCCATTTCGACAAAATGGGCGTCCGATTTGGAATTTGATAGCATCAGCATGAACCGTAAGTTTACAATTTTTAAAAAAGCCAATTTTAACTTTTTGTTTAGCTGGCTTTGCTGAGTGGATGGAACGGCAGAATGCGCGACTTCTCGAGGAGGAAAGAGCCGAGCGTCGACGTTTGGCCGCTTTCACCAGCTCTTCCGGCGAGGAGGATGAAGACGGCTCAACTGACGAAGCAATGGCTCATCTCGACGCCGTTTTTGAGGAGGAGGTCGGCTCTGGCGCTACGATGGACGAGGTTCCAGAGCTTGAAAACGACGAAGAAACTGCTTCTCCACGCCAAGGTCCTAATTTTGCCCTTTTGCTATCATGTTTTATCCTTTTATATTGATAGCCCTCACTACTACTGCTGATCCTCTTGCCGAGTCCTTTAACGAAGCCAATTCCGCGTCTGATGCCATTGATGTCGCCAATTCTTCTTCTGCTGACGTCACTGCGCATTACGACGCCGACTTGGATACTGTTGTGGTAAAACTCAACTAACTTTACTTGCGCGCCAACTAGTCAACCCTTGTAGCACCAAATTATGAGCTTCATTTAGGATAATTTTTCTCTCTAAATATTTTCGAATCTGTCGCCTTCATTCTTATCATTACCTCTACGACTTATTCATTGCTCATTCTTAAACCTTTATCTCTTCAACTCTTATCAATTGTTCCTTCCTCGCTTTTCCTTCTTTTGCATTTAAAATTCCTTTTGCTGTCATTTTGTATTACTGAAAAATTTATCAACACTCGGCGACTTTTAAACTTTTTCCAATCTAACCTGAGTGACATGCGATTTCGACCATTTTATCGAGCACCTGCTTTACTGAATGTCACAATGAAGCCTTTTACATTTTTCACTAGTTTTCTTTTACTTTTTAGAATCTTGATAGAGTAATCGATGTCGGCTTCAAAGCGCGTGCCAACTTTCGGTCCTCCGCGAATCCCTCCTCGGCCAGACACTCCACATTGGCGACATCGAAAAACGACTCAAAATGTCGCCATTATCAACTCGCCAATTGTTGAATCGCCAATTGCGCAGCACTTTGCTCGCAAGATTGTCAAGCGCGGTGCTAGGTACCTTTTTCTTTTTTCTTCTTATTTAATAAAACGGTGTAGATTCGCGGAGCGCACTGCTATTGGACGAAAGTTGGTCAACACTTGCGGCGCCGCTCTCAAAACACTGCCAATTCCTAAGCTCGCAAGCGAGCTACGAGGTAATTAAAAACAGGGTTTACTCTTTTTGTTTAAATTTTGTTTAGGCGGTAACCGCAAGCGAAGGCGATCGTCTTTTGAAATTAACCAATTCAATCGACAATTTGAGCGCTCTCAATCCAGTCGCCAAAGCGAAAGAAGCAATCGTTTATTAAGCGATGCCACAAGAAAGCGGTGCTCTATGGAAAAACGGCTATGGGAGTTGCGAAAGGTAAAGACAAAATTTTTCTGGCGTTTTATCAACTCAATATTATTCAGCAATCAAGAAGAATCCGCCACATTTGAGCACTCAACTCTTCATGGGTCAGTATACGGCTTCGTTCAAGCTCACGCCAACACGCTACGCCGCGATTGAAGAGGGCATTCTCGCTGCACATCGCCATAGCGCAACACCAACTCGCGATTCGCCAAAAGCACTGCCAGCACCACCAAAAGACTCTCCTCTCGTCATTAGCGAGGATGGAGTTTTCTTTCCGTACACTGCGCTTCAAAAATCGCCAATTGCAGACACATCTTGCGCCACATCTTCTCCTCAAGGTAAATTCTTGATAGTTTGGACTGTTAATTAAGCAATTTAGTTCAGACCGATAATGCTGCTCGCGTAATGGAACTCATTGCTGCTCATCCCTACTCGCCGAAACCATCTGTCAAACTCGCTCAAGCCATCGACGAGCTAAAGAAAAATTTGGCGAAAGCTAAACTGTTTTTTATTTTTCTTTTTTGAAAAATATATTTTGTTTGACAGTTACTTTTTTGTTTTTACTTGTTTGCATTTTTGGCAATTTAGCAATTGAACGTGAGTCTGGCGACATGTGGTTGCACGAGTCTCCGCGTGCGCGTAAAAAGCAGCGGCAAAAGAGCCTTGGTCGATTTACTGTTTCGGATGAGGAGGGTGACAGCGATTGCACGATTGTTCCAACGGTTAGTAAAAATGCCAATCATCTTATTATAACTGACGCGTTAAGGCTCTATCTCAATCGACTCGACAAAACTCTGGCGCAGTTCCCGTTCGGCAGTACATTGATGGATATCGGGATTCAGGCGGGCGCACAATAAATCTCGATTAAGCAAATGTTTTATCAAGAGTTATTTTGTACCCCTTAGACAACAACAACAACGACCGCTCTACTCGCCGCCGCAGCGCTGAGCGCATTCAATTTGACGATCTTCCGATGAGCACTCGACGAAAATCGCAGCCGCGACAGCCCGATTCTGAGCAAAAGAAGTTGGTCACTCCTGACGCGATTCAGAAGCTCATTGATGATAAAAAGTCGCGTGATAGGGCAGCGTCGGCGGCTCGGAAGAAGAGCGGCAACGGGCTTCAACGATCCATTGAGCGCCGCGGAAACAACTTTTACGACGACGGCGAAGACGCAGATCAGGTCGCCGAGCGTTTTGGCACAAGTCTGCATGTTTCTGGATCGGACGTCGAGTTGGCAAACGAGGTCGATCGACGGCGAGTGCGCGCAGAGAGCAAGCGCGGTCGCGAGTCTCCGTGTCCGTCTTATGAAGCGGCTATGCGACAATCGTGCGAGACTTCCATGAATCAGCAGCGGCCGACGATTGTTCCGCCGCGAAACTTGAGCCAGAAAAGAGGTCGTTCTCCAGTACGCCGCCGCAGCGGGCAACAGCGCTCAAGCCCTGATCTTCAACGTCGCCGAGAAAAAGACTGGCGCTCTACGCCCAAGTATCCCCAGGAAACTGTGGTTCAGCCGCCCCGCGAGCCTGGCATCGAACATCCGCAAAAACCCGTTAAATTGGGCAAGGCTCAAATGCCGTTTTTGCTCAATTGGAATCGAGAACAACCGCACGATTCCATCCACGCTTATATGCCGGCATCTGTGGAGCCGCTCAACTCGATTCGAGGGCCTGGAGCAACATCGTCGCCCATCGGTTTCCGGGCAATGGGCCGAGGGCATTTTCGGAACCCGCTGGAAGACACGACAGCTTTGGAAGGTCCCTCGTGGCTTTTGAATCGCCACCAATTGCGCGGAATTTTCGCTATTGCGTACGATACGCGCAATGGCCTTCGACCGTCTTTGGCAGACGGCTACTTTGGAGCTTTTCTTCAAAAATTGGCGATGATTTGCGAAGCGGCTGGAGCAGACGTCGGCGAGGCCGTAGAAGAGCACATTGCTCTCATCAACAACCATCACGTGTACACGACCCTCGACATGTATTGGACATTTCCGGGCCAGTTCAGAGGCGAAGAGCTTCAATGGAAAGCGCTTGGAAGTTTCTACGCCGACTTTGCCATCGACGCGTTTGGCCATTATTACATCCATAAATTGTATTTATGGGTAAGTTTTAAAACTTTTAATTTTGAATAAAAGTGATTGCTTAGGTGAAATATGACGACAAGTGGCAAATTGTCGACATCAACAGCCGACGCCAGCTTGGACACCCTGCCAATGTTCTGCGCTACTTGAACGTCGTCAAAGCCAAGACGTTTTATCCTTGGCCAACACCTGCCACCACTTCTTTCTCGCATTACAAGAGTCAATTGCTTCTGTGCGCAGGCTTTGTGCCTTTGACAGTGACTCCGCCCTATGCAGAAGCCAGTCGACAATTTATTTCGGACTCGGTAAGCAATTTAACTGAAATTGTAAATAATTCAATATTTTTAGTTTTTCCAATTTGTCGGGCTCAGCTGTGCAATCATGCAACCTCCTTGTGACGCGCAAATTGGGGCTCTGAATGACAATCTCGAGCTGCGAATCTGGCGTTCGATTCCGTCAGCGATGAGAGTCGATTTGCTTGGACCGTTTGGCGGTGGCGAAGGAACTCGAACTGCTACTCGCATTATCGCCGAGCGTTTCAACGCCATCCAAAACAAGATGGACATGGTGTTTCGAGATCGCGCCGAGGCTGAAGCACCACCAGAGCATCACCGTCATCAGGCGCAATTGCCGAATGACAATGGCGACGACGAAGCAGCCATAGCCGCCGCCCTAGGATACTTACGATCGGCTCTGCCGCCAGTGTTTACTCGCATCGACGATTTCATCCCCACTGAAGAAGCGCTCAAGATGATCTTGTTTGCGAGCTGCACGACTGCTCCCACAGAGGACGTTTATTTTCTGTCCTTGGTAGGAGAGAGACTCAAATGTATTGAAAATTAACCCATGTTTTCTAGTTTGGAGTTCAACGACAGTTGTCCTCGGCGCTAATCACTCAACACGCAAGTCAAATTTTCCCGAATGTAATTGACTCTGCGCTTGAAAACGCTCGGGAGACGCGTTCGCGACTTCGTCGCGATCTCACACAAGGTACAGACTTGCAACACGTCGTGGGTATGGATCCGCCTGAGTCGTTGGCCACCCATTTTGGCGGCGATCAGCCGTTTATCAACAACGATTTGGCCCTTGCTCGCCAAAAACCGCACCGCCGCGGCATTCGACGCCCAGACGAAGTTGCAGACGAAGTACGAGCCGAGAAGCACGAAAACAAAAAAGTTCTGTTTCTGCTGCTGCGGGCGACAAACGCCAAATCAAAAAATGCCGCAAGTGCAACGCGCGCATCTCTTTCACCGCCGACGCTGGTGGACCTCAGAACGACATCACTGACGAGTTCTACCCTCAGTCTCCATTTGATGCTGGACACTTTTGCTTTTAAATTGTACCTATCTGCCTTTAGGAAACCACTCAGGATCTCTATCTCTCGCTCACGTTTAGGTCAACATTATCAACATGTTCAAAAGTTCAGCCCCCGAAAAACTATTTTCATCCTTTTCCCTTTTAGTTGAAATCGGACCGTTTGCGAAATGATGGTGGCGGCGGCGGCAGCGGTGGCCGCTGTTTTTGTAACGCAGTCAATAGTTGCAGCCGACGAGCATTCTGATCTTCACGAGTTCAACAGCCATGAAGAGTTTTGTGCAGTGTATCCTGATCACTCGCATTGCGCGGTGCCAACAACAACAACAAACAATCCACCGCCGACCATATCGGCGCCTACAACTGCGTCTACTACGCAAGAACCGACTTCCACTCTTTCTGAGGCGCTTCTGGGAATCAATTCAACGATTTCTTTGAATTCAAATGCGACTGCAACATCTGGAGGTTATTCGAGTTCAACGCCGGTTCCGCGAATTGTGTTTCATCCCAGCGGCATGGAAAATTCCACTGGCAAGAAAAAATCAAGAGCTCATGGTATGTCGGAATCGCAGGGTATACTTGAGCGCATGGTATCATTTTTTTAATGGTATGCTTAGTTTTTCCCATCTTTTGATTTCATCCTATCAGCATTAGAACTTTGCAAGCTGCTACGTTAAAGTTTTTGTCACCCCGCGCTTCAAGTATAGCATGAAAAAATGATACCCTGCAACTCCAATTTTTTCATCCAAGTTTGAACTTTTAGGATTAGTAAAATTCCATTGACGATTTCTAGGAAACAAATACTGGTGATGGCCGCATATTTGGCAATGGCGCTGATGGTTATTTGCTGCTGCTTGCCTGCTTGTATTGTCAAGTACCGGAACACGAATGAAAGCTGCTCAAAGATTCTCCTCCTTTTGCTGATCGATTTTCGTGACCTTGTCTTTGATGTGGTCTTCTTTCCATTCGACTTGATTCGTTTTGCTGCAAGTAATATGTGCGAAAAGAAAAAAGTATCTTGGAAAACAATTCAAGAAAAGCGGCGTCATAATCTGTGCTGTTGCTTTGCTTGCGTCAAAGGTAAAAAGACTGATCCTGGTTTACGCGAGGCGCTCAATTTTGATCGAAACAGCAGCCGCTACGGAAGTGGTTCAACCATTTACGAAGGGACCTTTGCTTCAAGCCCCTATTCTAGTACGTTATTGCCTAAAAACTTGCGTGTTTACACAAAATTTAGAACGGAAAAATACTCGTCACGCTGCCAAGAAAAAGGGTATTATGAAAAACATCAAGCCCGAAACGCTCAAGAAGTGCGCATTTACAAGGAAAAGGCCAGACGCGCTGAAATTGCGCGACAACAACGTATACGACAGCAAGCAGATTGGATCAATTTTCATCGCCAGCAAGTCTTGCGTCGTCAGGCTGAAGAAGATGCTGCAATTTATCGTCACAGACAACAACTGGCAGCTCAACAACAAGCAGCTCAACAACAACAACAACAAGCAGCTCAACAACAAGAACCAGAAACAAATTCACGCGTTGAAAATGTTCAATGTGCGCCTTTTCGCCCTGCTCGTCGCTATCGAAACAATTCCGATGATGAGGACGATTACGACAAGCGCCAAAACGCTTCTCGTTCTAGTTCGTTTTCAGAGCGTTTTTTATCGCCTTTTCGAACCAAGGCTTCAACTGCTCCAAACGGCGGCGATCACAAGTACCAAGAAACGCCAATAGATGATCCTGACGAATGTGTCGAGTGCGAAAAACAGTCACCGCCGCCGCCGCCGCCGCAACAAGATAAAAGTGATCTAAAATCGGAGCCGCCGTCAAGTGACGCCGCACGTAAACTCCCCCCTGAGCCAATGGTTTATTACAGTAGCAGCGAAGATGAAAGCCGCTTTCAGCAGGTATCTCTTGACGACAATGTCAAGATCGAAAATGTGACTCTGGAAGATTTTGGCGAGCCTCTCCCTCCTGTGCACAAATTGCTTCGATGTTCTTCCTCCTCGTCGGATGATGAGGAAACTGCGCCGGAGCTTGAAAAGCCCAAAATTCCATCCCAGAAGAAGACCCAGCTAGCCACGATTGTGGAAAATTCCGACAGCGAGACAGAGGTAAAAGATGCACTGGGATTTTTAGTCGAGAACAGCTTCCGGTCTGCGGAAGCGCAATGTCCGGTTTAAGATTCTGTCACGTGATTAGAGATCCTCACACACAATTTGTTTGATCGATTTGTGAGGGGTGTTAGGGTAATAAACGCCGCTTTCAAGTGTATACTGATAAAGGCGGAAGTAGCTTTATGTCGCGTGCTGTAAAAAAAGGGGCGCTGTTAGATTGGCGCCCTCTTCTAAGATATATAACTTTGACATTGAACCCTTTTTCAGTATACACTTTACAATATGATTTTGAATATTGAGCAAATTTCGCCCAAGAAAAAAAACATTGTCAGAGCGGTCCAAAAGTTTTTCAAAAGACGTTTTGTCACTTACCAATACCCAATTTCTGAAATCAACGACCGAGCTTCTGTCAATGTCAACCCAGCATCATCGCCATCATCCTTGACTGCCGCATCCGTTTCATCGGTCCTCCATTGCCCGCCACCACCCTATCCGAAAATTGTCGGACTTGCCGCACTGATGACAAAGGAGGAACCGGCTGACCTTTATTCTCAATTTTCAGACGAGACGATCAAGTATGCAACAATTCGAAAGTCCTACTCTCTGCGATACAAAAGATCCACCAGACGCCATTAATCCTTTCCTTCTACCATCTCACATTTCGATCAAATAAATTATAATAGTCGATTGATGACAGTTTTTTAAAAAAAATGACAATTAAAAAAAAATGACAATTTAAAAAAGGGCAATTTAAGAAAGAGCAAAAAAGACAACATTGCCTGCCGCGAAGCGGCAGGCCCTGTGAACGACGAACCTGCGCATGCGCAGGTTCGAGTGAACCACGAAATCGAGCGCGCGCCCCAGGGGCTCCCAAAGGGAGCCCAGCTCAGAAAATTTTGATCCCCTTTGGGGATCAAAAATTTTTCGCAACCTTGTGACGGACACCGTTTTCGCAAATTCTCCTATTTGGAAATTTTTTGTCAAGAAATAATTTGAATTTCAGGACTCGCCAGGGTTTGTCAAGCTCAAGGCGCAGATGAATCGGCAGCTCAAGACGTCGTACAAGCTCTCCAAGTTGACAAATGCACCGACGCCGTCAAGAGTGGTGCTCGACTCGGGCGAACAACATCGTCGCCGTTTAGCCGATCGTTGTGGCACCGCAAGTCCAATGGGGACCTATTTTCGTAAAAAGGCTCAGCTCAGGAAAGCTTTGCAGCCGCCGCCGCCACCGTTGCCTGAGATGCCCGCCGATAATCAAGTTCAACCACCAGAGGTACTATTGAGCTGCGCGTAAGATTGCGCTTGAAGGTGAATTTGAGCATTATTTCTAGAAGATGGGCGTCGCACTCACAACATTTGCGCCAGCGGTGAGACAGAGCGACAAAAGTAAGAAAAATGCCTTTTGTGCCACTTTTTCAAGATTTGACTTCAGAGTACATGGAACAACCTGTCGCCAATGACCAAGAGGACGGTGCAGCCAGAGACGGTTTCTTTGGTCACAAAACTCCCCAAGGATTCGCACAATGGTAATTTTCTTGAAAATTCTCTTTGTGCTCATTTGTTTCCCAAGTTTTGAGTCGAGACCGCGATTCATGTCTACAAAACTGCTCGAATTCTCAGACGACGACGAAGACGAGGACAAACAGTCTGACAATTACTTTGGTCGTGGACAAGCCCTCAGCGCAAAAATCCTCGTCAAAGTCGAATCAGCGTCGCCCCCGCCACCGCCGCCACCACCAGGCGGAAAAACAGAGCCCAAAGAAGAGCCAAAAATGGAGCCAAAAGAAGAGCCGGAAGACGAATTCATACCGAAAAAAGAAAAAGTGGAAACAAAATCGGAACCACAAGAAGCAGGTGGCGAATCTGTGCTCTTTATTGATGAATGCGGCAATCGACACCACGCCGTAGTTGGAACTCGCCTCCTTTCTAGCTGCACGCCTGAGCCAAGCGACGAAGAACTTGTAGATGTCGTCTCTGTGAGTGAAACTATTACAACGAATAGCAGCAGCGGATTTGGCTCGGAAACGTCCTCTTCGCTCTTTTCTTCTTCCACTACGACTACCGGGTCAACTTTGACCGATGTTACAGAATCAAGCGAGGAGCAACCTAAACCAAAGAAAAAACGGTAATTTGTAAATTGTTGTTCAAACAACTAATTTCTTTTTCTAGCGCTCGCCGAACTACTCCTGCTGATTTCAAACCACGACGATCCGCACGCATCCTTTCTAAAAAGTAAACTGTTTAGATATTGCTCTCTCTGTTCACTCACTCACTTACTCCCTCGCTCTCGCCGCCGGTGCTCTGGTCATATAAAACTCGGACTTACTTTAGGAATGTTCACTCACTCATTTTAATAAAAAAAACCAACTTTTACAAATGATATTGTTGTAGTTTTTATGATTAAAAAGCCGCAAGAAAGTTGTAGAGATGGAACTTGTGGGGTCGACGAAAAGACGCATGCTGAACAAGGCTCTGGCAAGCAATTATCAAACTCGATTCTCTCGGCTCGATCAACCTTTGCCCACCACCACCACCACCAACTCGATCAAGCCCGAATTTATTCACGAAATGAGTTTGTTGTCCACGCGAATCCAGCGAATAATCACAGACGAGTTGTCAAAAAACCCGACGACAACGACGACCAAAAATGCGGAAGCCAATCTCAAGTTTATGAAGAGAGCTCTACACGTGGTGGAAACAACTCGTTGCACTCCAGTCTTTTATGTCGACAAGGAGAAAAAGTCGGAGACGTTGCTTTATCCGATGATGAGCGACGACGACAAGTTCCTGCTAATCTGTTATCACTTTGTGGACAAGGCACTTGCTGTGACACCGCCGCCAGTTCCAGCGACACCGCCAACGACCCAGTCAAATCCAACAACACAGTCAACGCCAACGACACAGTCAACGACACAGTCAACGCCGCCTCAAAAAAGCGACATCAACGAGTTTGCTTCAGCTCAAGGATTAAATCAACAACACGACACCGTATCGATCGAAATTTACGAGCCCGAATCCGTCTGCTCGGAACCGGAGAGTACACAATCCCCCCACTTGCGAAATCAGGCTCAATACTGCGAGGAAAACGACCTGCCAGCGCCTCCTCGTCGTCGTCTTCGGACAGCTCTTTGGACATTTTTTCCGGGATCGACTTGCCGGAACATGTGCTCGATATTGGGGATATCCCTGATCCTGTCGGCCTTGTTGATGCTCTTCATTATCCTAGTGATCAAGAATTATGCAGATGCTCTTATCTCAACTCGCCAACATCAATTTATGGATCTCGACAGCGACAGAGATCTACAATGTCGCATACAGATACCGCCAGTGTTTTCCCAGGCCTTGATTCGCTTTTTAAACAGTCTTCAAAACGGTAAAACTGCGTATTCTTGTTTTTGGTTTCAAGCATTATTTTCAGAGTACCGCTGGTCGATGCCCCACAACTCGACGAGCGATTAGTAACTGGACGCTTTGATTTCAATACAAATACAGACGATTACGCCTTTGAATCTGCAATCAAAGAAACGATTTTCACCGCGTGTAAAAACAAACAAGGCTTCTTTACATCTTGCGCCATGCAATTTACGGACATTGGTGCTGCCGATACCGATTGGCGTAAAAAGTTGGTTCAAGACACGACTCCTGACGATTGGAACAAAATCCGGAACAGAATTGCCGCCGATCCTGGCGCGGGAAGCCCAATTTTGCTCCCATTTGAAGATTCGCCATTTTTCACGATTTCGGATCAACAAACTTTGGAATCAACACAATACGCCGCGCTCTTTAAGCAAAATCAAACGCCTGCCGAGACAATTGACGCGTGGAGAAATATGCAATCGGAAAAAAGTATCGACTTGGCGCCTGATCAATTACTTGGAAATGTAAAATGGAGCACGGCGAGCGGGGCTTTGGCAATTTTAGAATTTCATTACGCGCTCTTGGATCCATGTTTTTCTCCAGCGAGCGACGGAACAACAATTGTTTCAAATCTTTTGCGACCCGTAAACGCTCCCTTGCCACAATGCTTTTATAAAGATGGTTGTTCCCCTTCTATGGATAGAGGTATCGACATTACTCGTGAAATTTGCAACTTGCTGGCAGCATTTTCTACCGAATCGTACATAATCGCCAAAAAACATGCTGCAGATGCTGCTGCAGCAGCGGCTCGAACACCTCTTACGTATCGACTCTGGAAAAATTGTAAACCTTCTACAACTGAAGAGGAAGCGATACGGCTTACTTCGGCAGAGTTTATACAAACAAACAAAGTGTCTTTTTTCGATAGCGATAAAGCGCTGGAACTTGACAATCCGTTGCGAAAAAGGCTCCATCGCGAATTTATGGACAGAGTAGACGAGCATGTAGCAGCCTCAAAAGGTCCTCCAAAATATTCGCCTCTGTTCCCTCGCTATAAATTTGAAGAGGGCGAAGTTGATTTTCGCTTTTCTCCAACCCAGTCAAAAGCGTACAATTACAAAGCCTCGTCATTTCATCTTCATTCGGAATCGTTTAACAAAACAGATTTGTTTGCGTATTTGCTTCTGCTTGGGCGATCTGTGGCTCATACGGCCAAGTATTATTTGCAATGTCCGCTGCTTGAGTCGACTTGCGTATCAAGCCATGAATTGGCAAAGTTGCTGCCGCCAATGATGCTTGGGGATTGGCGCTGCGGAAGAGCAAAATCTCTCAAAAGCCGTGTTCAACCGCATTCGACCAATATTGTTCGCCCGCCGGTCGCCCCTACTGGTCAGGTCTGTTTCGACGAGGAAAATCTTTCACTCGCCAAGCAATTTAACCAGGATCTCTTTCGACTTTATTGCATCAAAGATTTGGTGCCCAATGCGCATTTTCATTTGTTGCTTTCAATGCGAAAGGCCTTTGAGCAATTTATTGAAATTTTGAAAGCGCGAGCGAGCCAAGTCCTGCGATTCACTTCTTATGAAATGGATACGCTACAAACGTATGCTCTTGGAGAAAAGGAAAGCGACCGCCAGCGCGTTAACAGATTTCGCGTTATGGCCATTCATCTGAAATCGCGCGCTCAATTGCACTGCCATCAGCAACGTCAAATAAAGAGTTTTCTTAACAAACTTTTGGTGGCTTACATGGGATTTGTTACACATTGTCCGCCAACATGTCCAAAACTTTATCCGACCAAGACGACATGTTCGCATATTTGCAACGAATACAAAAACTCTGTCTTTATTTGGCCAATGGAATCGCCACCTCTGCCGCTGAATTGGAAAAAGATCGGTGCGATCGTTGCTTGAGCCGCCTAAACAGCGCGTATACTCGAATAAGGTCAACAAACGGACTTGAAAACAATTTACCTCCAAATTATTTGTATTTCAAGAGTCTGCAAATGGAGCGGGTCTTTAAACGAGCGGAAACGCGCTACAACTTGAGCAGAAGCGATTTTGCAATTTATGGCGTACACGATGTCAACAAGTGGTTATCTACTCAACCAAATTTAACAGGTTTTGCTCGACTGATGATTGACATTATTGATCTAACATATATAGACTCCGAAGCTACGAAAAAACGCTGCGCACCGGAACAACTTACATTTGCGCAATCGAGCGTACTGCCAAGCAACAACTCGCTAAACGTCGATAAAGATATAAATAATGGCGCTGTTACGGTACGTTTTTACTGCCCTCGCGTGCGCTTCATTTTTTACTCTTTTTAGCCTTGCTTTTTTCCATCCGAATACTCGCCGCCGCCGCCGCTGCCTCACTCATTTCCTGCTGACAAATTTTCCAGCTACAACAAGAGTCAAGATGGAGTCTCAGGTAAAATTTTCTTGTTAAAATCGAAACAAATTAATCGATTGTCAAGACGCCGCCAGAAGTTGTGAATCTTTGCGACGACGACGACTACGAGGAAGTAACAAGCGCTTTGCAGGAGCAGACGGTTACGACAAGCTCTCAAAACGCATGTATTCCGCAAGCTCAGACGCCGGACTCGTTGTCAGCGTCGACAGCCGAATTGAGCAGCGATCAAGTCGTTCCCCAGCAATCGTCTTTGCAAGCGACAGTCAAGAAAGAGCACACGCCGATATGCAGCAAGCCGAATTCTCCGACTCTTCATTCACCCTTGACGACTACCTTGGCAGCGACGACTTTGATGCAGTCTTATCCCTCGCAAGCGCCTACACCGATTCCCACCCGTCCGCCCCAATGTTCGACACCTGCACCGATTCCCGCGCCGATAGATGCAAATCTCAATGGAATGACCCCTTGGCCTCGCCAACTCTCGGAGGATGGTCAATGGAGCAACTGCCCGTATACCAACTACTGGAACCAATTTCAACCTCCTCTTGCTTTTCCAGCGGCGCCTCACCCGCCACCTCCTCCAGCTCCATATCAACCACCGCAGAGATTTCCGCCAACGTTCTTCCCCAGCCAACAGTATCCAGCTCATTACGATTATTATCGCCAGGCTCGACCGATGCCGACGTCTCCAGTGCAGCAGCAGCAGCAACAGCCACCGCCGACCTCGACTCGATACTCTGCCTCGTTGACGACAAGCCTCGAGTTTCTAAATCAAGAGACTTACTTTGTGGTCTCAAAGGACAAGATTCGGATTCGAGCTCAACCGTGCCTCCACTGCTTCCCAAACCGGACGCTCAATCCAGCAATCGTGTTGCAGTATCACAATGATCCGCCCCCTGAAACGCCAACTGCTACAAAACGAAACACCGACACGCTCTTGGACAATGATGCTCCAAAATTGAAAAAATAGGTAAATTTTCAAAAAAGTTTTCAAATTTTACCGCATTTTAGCTCGACCTCCACCGCCACCACCACCACTCTTCTTCTGGCCTGCTCCTGCGATGTTCAACTTGCCGTTTTTCATATTTACTGTTTTTCTTATTCACTGTTTTTCTTATTCACTGTTTTTCTTATTCACTGTTTTATGTTCTTTTGTACTTTTATAATAAACAAAATTTTTTAATCTACGAGTTTTATTTAAACAACCATGCAGTAGGGTATTGTCTTAGCAGGATTTGATACGCCAGAATTCTATGCACACGAACATTGCTCTCCGAGAACACATCCCTTGAGTGAAACGTGTTTCGCAGGACACCATCAGCAAATCCAGCAGGAGTTATCTCAGCGCATAAATCGTCCAGGTCTTTTTCGTTTCGCACAAATTCAGTCGTATTCACAGATCCCCACATGTTTGCGTACACAATGCCAGTTTTTGTTGTAGTTTCAACTTGACCTTTTTCCCAATTGTAAACAGTTGCAGTGGATTTTGTACTGTAAAATGCGTCCACGCTAACTCTCAAGAGACCAGAAAAGTTGTGCACCAAATCACGAACCAATTGAACTATGTCGCGATCGCGTAAAACTGTAATGACATACTTGTTGCATAAAGTTGAATAACGGCCCATTCTATCAGCGCCAACTCGTAAGGGGTAGCGCCGCCATGATTGATCTAAAAATCGGAAAATCGTTTTTGTCTGCAGTTTAACTTACTTATGTAGTGCTTGATTGGGTAATTCAAGGGGCTGTCGCCTCCAAGAAGCGCATGCGTTTCCTCGGGTTCAAAATAATCGTCAGGTGGGATTATTTCCGGCACCAATTCTTGCAAAAATTTTTCTTCAGCACGCGTATTGGGCGAAAGCGCTTCGTCCAGAATATCAAAATTCTCGTTGGATTTTGACTGAGGATAAAACCACTCAATCTGCTGTGGAGTTAATTCATATTGACCCTTTTGTTGCGCATATGCTGACATAAAATCTGTCATACTTTCGCCCGAGGAGGGCGGCTCATCGTCCAGGAAATTTGAAAACAGTCGATATTTTTTGCGAATTTGTCGAGCTGTTTCAAACAAATTGCCGCCGTAAACGCTTCTCATCAACTCTGTCTGTCCAAGTTGGCGAATTTCGCTTCCGCTTTCATTGATAACCGATTGACTCTCGACCTCGCTAGCATCAGATTTTAATGTATTTAAAAGACTTATGTTATCCATTCTAAAAGTAATTTATTTACATGAGATTGTTTGTAAAACAAAATTTATAAATATGTTCCGTCAGCATTCTGGAGGGCAGAAGTTGTGATTTTATCCGCGTGAATTATTCGCTTTTTTAGTGCAGCATTGATGACGCGTTTTGTGAGCGTTTTCGTTTTCATGCGCTTTGCAATTTGATCAAATTGAAAAAGCGAAATGCTTTTGATGACGCTCTGTTCCATATCGTCGGAAACTAGCGCAGCTAAATAGTCCAAGTGTCTTAATAATTTTCATAATTTCTAAAATGATCGTTTTTGCTTACCTGAGTTTAATAGATTGGGAGCAGCCCTTTGCTGATCGTTTCACCTCCAGCGCTCCAAGTTGCGCCCTTTCATGCTCGTCAATTAGTTCATACACGCGATGGCGATTTTTTGGATCAAAGATTTCTTCTTCAATCGTGTTTCTGTCGCATTCTGTCATGATGTAGCATTTTGGGCTTAGAGCAATCATCCACCCTTTGTTGATACGGTGTTCTTCTTTTAGCAGCCCTGGTTCTTTTTGTGACGCTGCGTCGCCGGCCTTTGCAAACCATTTAGGCACCATTTCCTCATCCCACTCTTTAACAAGAGATGGTTTTACGCATTCTCGCAACGAGTCAGCAGTCATAGCCACCATCAGCGAGTCTGTGTCTGCGTAGCATAACTTTGTCCATCCATCTTTCATATATTTCATAAGAACGTCGCGAAATTAAAAAAACAAGAGTTTGCTATTTTGATAAACAAAAAGTTGAACTTGTAGAGCGGTTATGTGGGTGACACGTTTTTCTTAAAGAGAGCCTCGTGCAGCGGATCGCAATTATGACCCTCATTGCGCAGCGTGTTGAGCGCTTTTAAGCGCGGATTTCGCAGTGCTGTATACAAATCGCCAGATGAAAGAATTTTTGTATTCATGAATTTTGCTCGGTTGATTGCAAAGTATCCAACAGCCGAATTAAGAACAAATTTAATCCAGTTTGCCATCGATGTATCATTTGCTTGGGCAGCCTTCACTCGATCCGCCACCAACGTATTTACAAAATCTTTAAACGGTTTATCCCTGTAGTATGAAACAAAGTATTTGACGCGAAATTTGAGTCCCATTTTTAAATAATAGACCAACAACTCTGACGAAATAAAATAGTCTTCCACGTTGAAGCAAAAGACATTCTCCTCGCAGGGAAACATTCTTTGTTTTTGTTTTTCAGAAAGCGTTCTTGCCAAGTCACCTTGCAAATGTTCCAAAGTTAATTCCTTTCGTGCAAATATTGGTGGCGTATGAATATACTTTTCGACAACTTCTGGGGGCGACCACAGATCCACCATGGCAAATCCAAAGAATTTACTATTCCCATTTTCATCTTCATCGAGTAACGCTCTTTTAAAATCGTCGTGAGTAACGCCTTCTTTGCCGGCCTTTATTCCAGAACGGGTTTTTGCGCCTTTAAAGAGAAACGGATACGTTTTGGAATACGGAGCAGCGCTTTCGTCGTCGTCAAGTTCCAAACTGCGCCACTCTTTTATCCAGCGGCAAGCCATCTTAATGACGAGCGTATGCGGAAAGTTTTGAGGACCTTCACACATGACAGCTATTCCAAGCTCGTTTAATAAAACTGGCGGAGCGCCCCAATCCTCGAGACCGTCGCGTTGTCTTATATCGTCAACGATGGCGTGTATGCGAGCGTCTTCCTTGGCAAGCAACTCGTCGCGAGTAAAGTCAACTTGAATCGGGTGGCCGTCGGGCCCATTGATGACTTTTTTCGCCGCTCTAAATGGTCGTCGATTACACTGCGTACACGGGTGGAAAGAGCAGCCTCTATACTCGAAAAGATAACGTTTTTTAACGCTTTTAAAGGGTGTCACTTTTATCCAGTTTCGCTCATCAGCAGCTTCAGGATAAATCGCTTCAGCGTAGCCATCAATAAAATATGGACCAAATTGCATTTCTTCAAAATTATACGAATGTTTTATTGCACCATTAAAATCGTGCCGATTTGACCAATTTAGATATTCCAACCAGCGAACAGACTCCAGTGATGTGTTTTCGCGCTGGTTAAACATTCCTATGCCAAAAAACCGTTTTTCTTCTTCCGATGAATTTGAGCAAGAGTAGCCAATTTTTTGTAGTTGATACATTATTCCAGGACCACAAGGTAAATATTGTCGAAACGATTGCGGGTATAAACTATTGAAATCAAATGTTGTTACATTTTTGTAAATTCGCCCAGTTTCAGTTTTCCACGCCGCCTCTGGGATTTTAGGATTTTCGCCATTCAAGTAAATTGCTCGATGCATCACTTGTACAATCCCACCAGTCAGATTTTTACGCATATCTCGCAGATAAAATGGAAACTTTGGCGAGGTCGAATAAATGCCCGGGCAATCGTCTTTATACTTGAGAAAAGCAATCTTTTGCGCTAGTTGAGAAATGCTCAACTCTGAATGAATGCCAAGGCCAAACTTTTCTTTATTACTTTTACCAAATGCGCGAATTGACCCTTCCAACAATATGCAGTCGTTATAATTGTAATTGATAAGGTATTTCATCATTGTTGGTCGAGTAACGATTCCAGTAGTATCTTCTTCCCACTCTTGGCGCATCTTTTTCCACAAAAGCACACTTGCCTCTTATTTTCGCGGTGAAAACTTGAAAAATTTTTGCGCATTGTAGTCTTCCTTGTCGAATCGCCATCTTTTAATGTGTCGCACCAGATCAGCGCAACTCGTATTTGAGATTTCCAATCTTCATACAGGTCAAGTGTAGAATATATGCCTTCTGAAATTTGCTCGCTCTCGCCCTTGTTCTCAAAGTGCTCCTTTGCCGAAGGATCCTCATGAATAGATTGCAAGTGAAGAAAGGAAATAATTCGCGATATCAGCGCGTCCCTCTCGTTTGGCCACTCTTGCGCGGCTATTTTGTCGGCAACAATATCATCCATCTCTTGGACAAAACTATTGGATGCAACTGTCATTGAAGAATAGAAACAGGGATACGCAGCCATTTGTGTCGCTTTTCGTAACTGATCCATTGTCGTGTACCATTCGTATGGAAAGGTACCCTTTACAAATAAACTAGAGTCAAGTCCGCACGAACGAGCCAACTTTTCTAGCGACATTGGACAGGTATAATTTTTGAAATCGCGAAAACTCAGATTATTTGCCTCAACCATCATATATCCATTTGCGCGTTTTATAAAATTGATGAGCTTTGTATCTCCGCCAACAAAGTGATATAGCACCGACACCAAAGAAGGAAATAATATGCACATGTCGTATCTTTCGCCCATCCAAGCGTAAATTTTCAATTTGTGAAAGTCTTTCAAATATTTGAGCTTTTTTCGAAAAGACGCCACTTTTTGCACACAACGGGATTTTTCCTTTTTGTTTTCATTTTCGATTTCTTGCTCGTAAAAAGTAATTCCATTGTTGATACAGTCGGGAAGCTCGCGAACCATTTCGCGCTGAAGAATAATCAAATAGTTGACAAATTCGGTAAGCATCACAAGAGTAGCTTCGAACCCTTCGCCTTTACGCGTAAAGCAATTACGCTCTCCGTCGCTTGAATACGTGCACAAGGTTGCCAACTTGTGAAACTTGTCGCCCGACGAAAACATGCCACGTGACATTATACATTCGATGTCGTATGTTATAAAATACTCTTGGACGTAATCGAATGAGGGCAAATAACCTTCGCTAACCAATTCTTTTACATGATCCAACACTCGCCAACTTTGCACCGTTTGTCGAATAATGTCGATTGGCTCAGTTGAACAACACATTTCGTGCTTTTTCATCTTTTTTGCTTTAGAGCTTGTAAATAAACAGTGTCGAGTTTTGCACTTTGGTAACGCCCGCACATGACGATCCGAAAGCACTCGGACAAGTGTAGCATCAGAAAAACATTTGGCATGATGCTTAAAACATTTCGTATTGGTTTGTACTCTGCGTAGAGACTATTTTCAACGCTAGAAGACCCTGTGCCCGCATCGCTATGGTCATCAACATTTTGCTCAGCTGCTGGAACCTGAGTCAAAACTGTTCTTGCCTCTGTATTTGACTCCCAATCGCTAAAAGTATACTCGAATGCTTGTTCGTCGTTTTCGGCGTCGTTGTTGTCTTCGACATTGCATTCAGCATCAATAAAAGGGTTTTTGCGCGCATTCCCAAACTCGCTTGCATTTTCCGTCAATCTATCAAAATCGACAAAGGAAATATCATCTTCATCGCAGTCCTCGGCAGCGTTAGCAATGTGAAGTCCCTGCTCCATGGAATTGATGCTATCATCATCATCATCATCCAAAAACGTTTCAGACGCGTCGTGAAATTGATGATTATCGTTTTTGGTCCACCGCAAGATCTGAGCAATTTTCGTCTTGTCAAGAAAACGATTGCACTTGGTCGCTCTACGCTGATAATCCTTGTTTGCTGCATAGAGAGGTAAGAGTCCAGGGTAATTATCAAATTGACGATAACATACGCTCGTCAATTTTTTAAATTCTCGAGCAAACTCGTCTTCTTGAGGCGGAGCAACCAAAATGTTTAAATTGACGCAATTCGCAGTCCCAATAGTCGAATAAACGCATTGCTTCAAATTGACATTGTCGTTGATTATCTTGCCAACAAATAATCGTATATTAACGCTGTAACGTTGACGAATCTTGTTGAAAATTCCATCCGCAATAGTAAACTGAGTGTCACGTTGACCATCGCCAAACAGCTCCTTCTTTATAGCGGCAATTTTTATAAAATATTCGCGCTGTGGTAATTTTGGCCATCGTATTTGTACCAGCGCCTGCCAAATACTTACCCAATTTCGCTCCCGATCTTCAAATGTCCGCCTAGTTGGCAAAACATGAAAAGTACCAAGTCGATGAAAATAAGGTCTTGCTGATTGAAGTACAACACATGGTCGCCCTGCATTGAAAGGTGAAGCACTTTCCAATCTGTTTATTATCTGAGAAATGTTTTCCCGGTTGGTAAGTCTATGAGGCCGATACGAAATTCCCAACGGTGTAAAAGTTCCACCATACAAGACATAAATATCAACGTTTAGATGTCGTTCAAGCTTTGGCAATACAGCTCTAGTAGGAAATGATCCGTATTCGTTGACAAGCTCTCGAGTACTATAATTGCATAACTCTTTCCGGAGTGTTGGCGCTATCTTTTTTGGCGTTTTGGGATAAATTCTTTTCAAATAATTCCACCAATTTATTCCCATCAAAACAGTGTCGTATATATTTGAAGTGCCTTGCTCATTATCATCCAGCGGATCGGCGGGAGTGTAGCCATCAATATCATCATCAACGTTGTCTGCGCCATTATCATCGCACTCGTCCTCGCTGCTGCTGCTGCTACTACTTGCCAATGGATCAAATCGTTGTCGAGAAATATTGCGCCGAATTTCCTCCTCATCATCACTCATGTCCTGCCGATTATTTTCTAAATGACGTTGACTACTCGGATCTGCCATAAGACGGCGCCTCCTTTTTTCAACATCACTTTTAGAAAGACCCTCAGGTCTATTTGGTAAGAACCGTTTCATGCAATACAAATAAAATTCAAACAAAACAACAACATATTTATTATAAAAAACGTAAGATTGCGTCAGTAGAGAGTTGTCGCTAGAACACTCTGGCGTTTGTCGCTCGAGCGCTGCTACCGCAGCCTTTATCGTCCCAGCTTTCGTTTTACCCCAATTTGAGGAATAATTTCTTGGGCCAAGGCAGAAACGGAAACATCTGGTTTGTTAACAACTGCTGAAACAGCTTTGCTTTCCACAGTCGCCTCTAAAAACTTTTTGAAACAAATGAAAAACAAAAGGAAATTTTACCATTTCTATTAGCATCAAGAATAAGGTTGTCAACGTGAAACTTCATTATAAATGGGCACCAATCGGCGCCCAGTTGCTTTTTGAATGTAACTCGAATCGTAACGAGCCCAGACATTCCTCGACGGTCACCCAAATAAATGGGCACATGCCAATTATGGTTGCAAAATTGGAAAAAGTTTAACCCTTCGCCTATTGACTTGTTGGCATATCTGCCGTTGTGGCGCAGAAAATTCAAGTAATGATCTTGTCCAGACGTCCAAGGAGTTCCATGAATACGATCACCATCTATCATAATTTCTACCTGCTCAATTTCAAAACCAGGCTCGTACAATTGAGTCTTAGTTATGCAGCGATCAAAACTCGGAGTTTTTCTAGCGCTGCTCATTCCTGTAAAAATAATCATATCTGGAAATTCTCCGCGCGAACATTCAACAATGTACGACTGATATCCTTTTGTCCAAACTCCAACTGTAAGTCTCGGGTTATAAAAAGGAATCTTTGCTTGTCGTTTGCCAACAATAAATGGTCGCTCATCTTTTTTTGGCGTGCAAAAAACACTTTCAATCTGCAAATGTCGAAGATTATCTTGCGAGAGTTTAAAATCTAATCCAGTCTTGTACCAGAAATAAACCCATTTTGTCTTGTCTTCATCATTCTCATCCGTAAATCGCTCGTATCTGGGAATAACTCGTTTTACCTTGTGGGGCGCCCATGTAGACGGTTTTGCTGCGACAGCCTTTACACCCTCTTTGGCTGCGACGCCTGGAGTACCTTTGAAATACAATTTGGATCGTTGCGACTTTGACACAAAATCGCCGCCCAATTGATCAATTCCTAGATACTCTTTTTTAACATATTTTTCTGGAGTGCAATCGCATTCTTCTTCCGTTCCATGTTCTACCCATTCGGTTGTCGTTTCAAGTCCGTTAACAAAAGGCCAAGAAAATAGCTCTCTTGTTATTTTACCATCGGCGTCGACTTCAAAAAAATTGCTCTCCAAAGTTCTACACTTTTGATAATCATTCCAGCGCATTGCCATTCGTTTAATCGCTTTTGCAGATTTCATCGACGAATCTGTAGGATCCGAAGCATCTGTCGAAATTTCAAATTTTAACCTCGAAGCTGATGGTAAAACACGAGGCTGTCTTGCTAAACCATGACTTAATGGAGAGCGAACCAAATAACGATGATATAGTCCATCGCAGGTAATAGTTGTCGCAATGTTTTTTGAAATTTTAAGTGCGTTCGGTAGCGCCACCCATTCAGCCATTGCATATTGTTGACGGTTTTCCACCAACGTCATCCCGCTACTTATGCATTTGATTTCGTTCAATTCGTCCGCATCGGCATCAAAAGAGTCGTAATGGCCCTCGGGAAATAATTCAATCTCCTGAGCAGTTGGCGAGTAATTTAGTTTTTTTATAAAATTGTTAAAAAATAAGTACTCGAGACCGTCTGTCCACGTTGAGAAAATGCAATCGTCCAGAATATAAAAGTTGAGCTTGTCAATAAGTTTTGTCGCGAAACCGTTGTCAGGCACAAAATTAGAGGGCATTCGAACTTGAAAAATCAACATACACCGATCAAGCTTTATGGGTAACTTATCGGGTGGCATTTGAAATTCAATTCGACCGTCAGAATGGTGAAACTGGCCCATCGTATGAACAAGCTTATAGCCCCCATAAGGATCTTCTCCTTTTTTAGCCGGTTTTTTATAATACAAAAGATTTCCGTAATTTTCCTCCATTATTTCAGTATTGCTAAAATATTGATCATTTCACCTTTAGAAAACAAAAAAGTCAATTATTTGCCAAACCGCGCATCCAAAAGAAAGGGTTAAGTTTTAAAGAACTAAAAAGTGGTCTAACATTTTGCAAAAAAATATAAAGGTGCGCAAAAATAATCGAAACAAGAATTAAATGACACAATGCAAGAATGATTAAAAAATCATTAAAAAATTCTGTTTTAGAAATGTTTCAAAACATTCTATAGACGCGCAGCGTCTAGCCTCAATGCTTAAAGTGCTCGTCGTCGACGCCTCCGTCTCCGGCGTCGTGGTCGTCTGCGCCCTCGAACGCCTGTTGGTGCTCGTCGTCTCCGCCGCCGCCGTTGTCGTCGTCGGGCTGGTCGCCGACGACGTCTTGGTCGCGCAGTCAATGCAGAAGTTTTTAATCGCGATATTCGTGGTTTAACCAGAAAAGACCGACCAGTTGACATCTAAATTAACCTGTTGATAGATAATAAATAGCTATGCTTATTATTGCTTGACTTCAGTAAAAGGGATAACTAAATTTAATTCATTTTCATAATAACGACGATCTGCAAGAACCCCTTTAGAATTATGAACAGAAAACGTAAAAACCCTAGCGCCCTTATGAATTTGTCTAATTTGATAAAGCTCTTTAGTCCACTTGGCAACTGAGCCTTTCTCAAAACGTTTTATATTTTGCCTAGGAATTCTAACAATATCTCCTACATGAAATTTTGTTTTACGTTGTCGCGCTTCCTTGGAACGCTTACTCTCTAAATACTCGAAAAGTAATCGATCATTACTATGGTTAACGTCAGAAGGTTTCATATCAATTGAAGAGTGTACAGTGTTGTTAATTGCGTTATTTATATCATCTAAAATGGGTACCCATCTTTTCACATTTCCTTGGCTTGTAAAAGCCCTTTCCAATCTGCTCTCCAACGTCCGACTAGAATTTATAATTATAAAAAATAGCCGGTTGCTTACTTACTTGAAACGTTCGACCATAGACGCCTTGTGTTTACCAGTCATAAATACGCGCGTCATGCCCCACTCACGCAAAAGCTCAGACACTTCTCCTTGAAATTCAGAACCTTGATCAGAGCAAAAAAGTATGCCCCGGAAGATCAAGTGTTTCAAAAATAGAACGCAAGTTTGATGCTGTTTCTTTGGCATCATTATTTACCATTTTCCTAACAAAACTTTGACGAGAAAGAGCGTCAATTACACATAAAATATACTTGTAATTATTATTTAAAGAGCCATAATTTTTATAAGCAACAATAGTATCAGCGAATAAAGACGAATAAAGACTAGTGGCGATTATTGGATTGCGAGTAAATTTAGATCTTAAAGGACGATGAAGCGAAATTGGCTCGTTCATACGTTTAAATTTTTGCATATCCATTCCACTATAAAAAGACGGTTGCTTATTATTGTAAAAAAGATCCAATGTAAAGGGCGCTTTTTGGGGTGCATTATCGGGACCAAAAGTTGCTTGCGGAATCGAGGACTGCGTCGTCGCTGTCGGGTTCGTCGTGAACGCTCTTGACGTTCTCTGGAGTTGAGGCTCTTGAAATGTTTTTAGGTCGACCCCGCTTGCCAGAGAATTTGGATTGGGCAGACTTGGAAGCGGCCTTTCTAACGGTAGTGACACGTCCAGCGGGCGACTCCCAATCTCCGGTCCGTCTTCGTTTAAATTTGTGCGCCGGATTCTCGACAATAACTGATCGCTCTCGCGAGTATCGTCTGGCAGCTCTTGAATCTTGTGTGCGAGAGATGGATTCTTGTTTGTCATAATCATCTTCGGAGTCGTGGGCGGTGGCATTCTCGGATAATTGGTCACTATCAACTCTTGAGGGACTTTCAGCTCGCCTGTTACGGGATTCCTTGCGCCTATTAGAGTTGTCATAAACTGAACGCCGGAATCTTCTATAATCATCGCTGGTGATAGTAAAGCCGTCGGTGGGGGATCGTTTACGTTTTCGTCCCGCAATTTTTCCAGCGTTTTTCCACGAGCTTGATTTACCTTGCTTGAAATGCTCTTTGTCCATCGATCGAGAATGCCGCTCGTGCTCAGCGCGGAGCCGCCCTGTTTTCCGTCTGCGCTTGTCGCCATGTTGTTCTTCATCGTAGTCGGAATCGTTTCTATACTCTTGCTCATCGTTGAAGGCGTCGTTGAATTTACGTTTACGTTTTGTTGATGTGCGTTTGCGCTCATACGAGGCTTCTTCATCCTCCGCCCCTTCGCCGCTAATGACACTGCCGCTTTCGCTGCCGCTCTCATCTCCTTCTGTCGCTCTTCCTCTTGCCTGTCTCGTTCGTCCATCTTTGCTGTAAGGAATGCTCCTGTTGCATAATCCTGCAACCAGGCGGGCTGTTTCCTCCTCCTCGGAGTCATAATCTGGATACGGCTCAGCTTTGGTTTTCGGCGCGCGGACTCTAACTCTATTAGTTAAGGGATTAATCTCCCAAAATGAGCAAATATTAAGCATTTGAGACAATGAAAAATAACAGCCGCCATTTACAGGTGCTTTGTTACTATCAACAGACTTCATCTTTAAAAGGTTATTTACATTCGTCCAAAATAAACTGAATAATAATAATAATTATTTAAAAACTTACAACTAAAAGTCGACTTTTTCTCCAAAGCTGCTTATCCCGAAAACGATAATTTTTAAATAAGCAAAATAACTACAGTAGCCGCTTTTTATAGTCAACGCGCGGGCGCCATCAAGTGCCAGCCCAAAAATCTTGTATAAAAAGGCCATTTCTAGCAGAAACAGTGCACAACGAAAAATGCAAGCACTGAAGGAACAAGCTGAAAAAGAGTGCACTGCAATCAAGTTGAATTGTACCTGGTTAACCTTACTCGGAAGTAATCGTTACAATTCCGGTGGCGACTGTGTCGACTTCAAGCACGGTGAGAAAGACTTTTCTGGGCGAGAACTGATTGAAAAGCACCAAAAAATCGGGTTGCGGTGCATTTCTGGCGCTCTCGGCTGGGATCAAGAAAATTCGGAAATTCGCGCGTACTTTCGCGAACAATTGAAAAAGGACTTGGAGGAAAAGACCATCATCGCCTACGTCGACGGTTACGAGCCTCCAGACTTTAACTCGAAACGAGCGAAAAACGACTTCAAAGTAGAAGGCTACTTCAACGTCCGCTACGTTAAATGTTTGAACATTTAACTAAATTCGTCCCGGATGTGCGTTTTGTGCATCCGTGTTCGTTGTTAATTGCGGGCAGCACTGGTACAGGTAAATCAAATTTCGTAAAAAATATTATAGAGTGCGACGGCATAAAAGGGGATATAAAAAACATTTATTACTTTATGCCGAGGCTAGAACCCATAGACGTTAAACCTGGCTCTAATCAACATTTATACTTACTCGAGGGTCTCCCTTCGCAAGAATGGGTTGACGATACTTTTCAAATAGAATCCGACAGCAAAAGCCTAATTGTAATAGATGATTTATGGTCCGCTTGCATTGAACACAATGTGTGCGAATATTTACTAACATATGGCCGTAGGCACCTTGGCGTAAGTCTTATCTTTGTGGCCCAAAATTTCTACGAAAAATCAAAAAAAGCAATCACCTACAGGTACGTGAAAATAATTGTATATTTATTTGAATTTTTATTTTAAAGAAACTGCATGACATCGTATGTATTAATGCCTAATAACACAGACTGCGGCATTAATAAGACAATTGCGACCAAGTGTGGTCTTGTAGATGCTTACAACTCAGCTGTTAAACTATTTCAAGAAAGACGAATCCCCAACTACAACTATATAATTCTCATCAGAGAAATTTGGCATCCCGATCAACCTCGCGTCCTGACAAATTACTTTGGCGAAATTGCTGGTTTAGGTGGAGCTCCATGGATTTTTGGCCTGTCTCAATAATCAACGACTGTTTATTATTTTGACATGAAACTTTTATTATAAAAAAACAAATAAAAATCAGTAAAAACTACATAAAGATACAGTTGGATTCAGTAATTTCTTCGCAGACCTCGTCGTGAATGCCACATCGTGTAGCTTTTCGATAACAAAAACAACTTAAAAGGGCCGTATATAAATGCCAGTTTTAGGTATCGCAGGATAAAAATAAACTCGTTTATAATATTGGCCAGAATATGTGAACCCGTCCCAGCCGCCGATGTCGTATCTTCTCAAATTGAGCTGCAGACATTTGTGGTGAGATTCTTCGAATTCAGCTAAAATTGAAATTTGAAAAAGCAGGTCGCGAAAAAGAAAACTTACGGTGCGCTTCAAGCTGCTTAATCCACTCTGCGCAAAGATGGCGATAACCGCCAAAGATATCGCCGCAATTTTTTTCGTTGAAAATAAAAGACACGACAATGTGGGTGCCATTTACAGTTGCCTTGTCCATTTTGTCAACCACGAGAGCGTCTTTGCCGATGCCTGCTCTTTCAAGCAGATCGAAAATGGCCATATCCACGCCTTCCTGATCGTATTCGCGAGTTTTCATGTCGAGTAAGAAGCGCGAGTCGTTTTGTAAAAGACCTTTTGCCCATGACGTAATGTACGAGAGAAAAATCGCGTGCTCACAAAAATAGAAATTTTCGATTAGCGTTTTGCCAAGAAAAAATTCTTTTAAATTCGGATACACGTATTTTTGTTGGTTGCAAACAACTTTTTTGTTTGCGTACTCGAATTCGCGAAACACTCGACCTCCATTCATTTTTTTGAAACCGTAATTAATCGGTCTGCTTTCAGCTTCGTCGCCAGTATCGATCCTCATTCGTCGACGCAATGTGTGCTTGGTGGAAATGTAACTGGGAATTTCATCATTCATCGTCCCATCTATTGCCAAATGCGGCCCTTCGGCGGCTAAAAAACCCTTATGCCCGTGAAGACAACAAAGACTACTCACTGGATTCTTCAACTTGTCTAACCACAACGGATTGTACTGTCTTTCCTGTAGCTTCGTCGACACTGTCCTTTATAAAAAAGACAATTTTCGAAGAGATAAGATCGTACGCTCGAGCCGGGAAAACCGAAACAACAGGTTGAGACGAAGAAAACTTGTTTCTATGCGGGTGGAAAAACGGAAATTTATACTCGTGCAGATGGTCATTTTTCTCGATTGTAAAAATTTTTTTCATTGAAAATAACAACGCAAAATGTAAAAATATAAAAAAGAGTTTATTTGAAAGACTCAGTCGTCGGCAAAAAATTTGTACTCGTAAAGACGTTTGGCGACAGCGCTGGCGCTAGGTGACGAAAGAGAGAGATCGTATTTTTCGATTTCAACCAGTGGATCGAAAGCAACGTTCGCGTCCTTGGCTCCTTTTACAGTGTAATCGAATACAACCACTTTTGGCTCTTCTTTTTGCTCTACCTCGATAAAAAACGGCATAAACTAAAAACAAGTAAAAAAATTTGCAAAGGAGCGCTTACCAGATCGTAATTGCGACTAAGCGCAACCTTTTCAAGCTCCCGAATGTGTTCTCTTAGAGCGTCAGTGTTGCCAAAAAAGAACATGTCATAGAACGGCAGTTTTCGGTAGTGGCGAAATGGATGATGATAGAAATATCCAATGTAAATCGTACGGCAAGTCGTCAAGTAGTACAAAAACTTGTTGCGAGGAGCTAAAGTTATATCGATTTCATGATGTGGGATCCCAGTTGATCGTAAGATTTCCATTATATATCGATCAATGCCCTCGTTATCGACTTGACCACTCGCAGCGTTGATAAATCGGCGATCCCTCTGGAAGACTTCTTTTGCCCATAGGCGCATATACAGGATAAAGACGATGCGGAAGGGGAATTTTGCCAGATTGCCAGGATTTATACGATTAAAAAACTTTTTCAAATTAGGAAAAGTAATTTTCATCGTGTTAACTGGCGCTTTTCCGCTAAAGCATTCGTGAACGCACTCAAGGATCAAATGGCACTTGTTGGTAATTTTTCGCAAGCCAACATTCAACGAGCTTACTCGGAAACCAGTAACTCCAAAATACGGTTCATTCAAATACGGCCAAATGCAATCAGCAGCATTGATTCCAAGCGAATGGTAAGCATTAAATGGCCCAAAATCCACTAAAGAAAAGATGAATATTAATCTGTAGATTAATCTTACCAATTTCCTGCCACGACCGAGTGACAACTTTTTGCTCAATTTTATTGGTTTTTCTATTAAAAACTGATTCAATGTATATGCGAATCACTTGTATTCTTCGGAAGCTCGCTTGTCCCTTGAGCGTCTGAAGCAACTCTTGTCGGCAATTTTTCTCATCGTTTTTAGTAAAAAATACTGGAAATGCGTTGACACTGTCAAAATAGTACTTGTATTCTCGAATTAGCATCATAACTGGGCGCGTTATTTTTCGCTTACTCTGAAAAAAAAGTAAAAATGAATTGATCGCTAGCGCCGTCGCTGGCAACTCGCTAACCCAATCAACGAAAATCATTTTTTAAAAAAATTAAAACTGTTCTAGAACAGTTTGTTTATGCGGGCATAGAAACGTGCGCGCAATTGCTCATTATTAAAAACTTTCGCGATTAATCAAAATGGGCTATATAAATGCTCGCGAGCCGCCATTATTTCACTTTTTTAGGTCAAAATGGAAAATCAGGAGCTCGAATTCCCGTCAGACTCGGAACTGGACACAATCAACAAATACATAAAAGACACTAGACAATTTGCAGCGCTCGTAATCGATACATGTAATCACGAAGGGGTAGAATTCCTGAATCCGATCGGCGTTCGAGTACCCGGGGTAAATTAACTTTTATTAATAAAATTAACAACGCTTTTAAGCTTTTGCATCGAATGGAGGATATGCGCGAAATCCTTAAAAAGCCGTTTTGGGCCTCACTTGACGATTCTCACGAACTTGCCCCACTCAAAAAATGCACTCTTCAAGTTCTCGACAAATTTGAAGACATGTGCTACAAAAAATTCCGACATCACATTGAAGCCTCTATAGAAAGTCACGAATTTTAGATCACTCACTACCTATCCTCGAATTTGCATGCTCTTATTAATTTAACTTCACTTTAGACCGCTTGAAAAAAAACACAATACACAGATAATACAGTAAAAGTTTTTATTTGCAGCTAAAAATAGCGCAGACAAGTTTGCCTTTTTATTGCTTCTTCCAACCAAAGCCGGGGATGATCATTTTACGGTTGTTAGCCGTAAGCAGCTCGAGTTTGAGCCGACCGTTCACGATATCGGACCAAAATCGCCCATAACGCCGGGCGAACGCTTGCTCCAGCGCAAAGATTCGCCTTTCCAGCTCTTCGCGCTCCAAGCCGCGGAGATCGTACCCCAATATGGAAAGTACCATCTGCACGGTCATCTCGTCCTTGTGGTTTTTCGAGTAGACCGGCTCGAAATCCTGGAGGGGAATCTGGCGAGCTAAATAAAATTTCAATTGACGCTAAAAAAAGTGATGCAAAACTTACAGGTTCCAGGAGCAGGTTCCGCGGCGAGCTCAACCCGAAGAGGCTGTCGGAAAGCCGGGTTTCTAGGCTGGGGCACCCGCAAATCCATGCCTTCGTCTTCGGGCTCGATTGGTGGTGGAGTTGGGATTCGTGGTCGATCGGACATATCGGCCATAGAGGGGAGCGATGTCGGGGCTCGGTTCGATCGCCATTCGCTGGAGTGCGTCGAGTCGACGGTCGAATAAGCGTGGACAACTTTTTCGTCCCGCTTTTGAGCAAGTTGGTTCGGGGGAGTTCGATTGACTCGGCGGAAACCGCCGAATCGGATACAGAAGTAGCCGAACCTGAGGAAACCGCTTCATCAAAAGAAGACGAAGAGGAAAGATCGTTGGTGGTGGCTGCAGCGGCGGCGGCGGGGGCGGAGAGCAGAGTAGAACACTCAACTACAGTGTTGAGCGAGTGTTTTGCCTTGCGAAGAAATTGCTCGGCATCGGCAATGGCTCGCGCCAGGGTAGTAGCCCGAGTAGTACTCCGTGTTCGCTACGCAAACAAAATTATAAAAAACCCCAGCTTATAAATAAAACTTACAGTCATTTGCGTTTTTTCGTCTTCACTCCACTGCAGAAAAAGGCGAACTGACAAAAATTTGGAAAAAGTGACGACAACAACGACTGTTCTAGAAAAAAATTTTTCCGAGAATTTGTTATTTTTCTCTAGAATTTTAGATTCGAGAGATTTTCGTAATTTGCGAAATACGCCACCATTCCGCACCAAGGCTGAAAACAACAGATAAAAACTCGAGCACTGCAGCATTTTTCATAAAACAGTCGCGCAACAGTCCGACAAGCATAAATGACCAGCAATATTTCCGCAAACGGCGATTATATTCTCACCGAACTAACTCCTGTTTTGTCCCATGATGAATTTATAGCCAAATGCGAAAATAAAATAGGTGAACAAATGCCTAGGTTGCGTCCTGCGCTTCACAATCGACTATGGACAGTCGAGGGTGACGAAGAGGAATTCCAAATCCCCGCGACCACTCTTTTAGCAATAATCAAGCGAAAGAAACTCAAATATAGCAACAAGCTAATGAGAAAAATTCAACTTGGTGCCGACTATGATGCTGCACCAATTTTCATCAACAAACGCGACTTTGTTTACAGCGGCTCGACGCCAAATGACGATCCTCACCTCATGATAATGCGCAGAGAGCTAAGGGAAACAGCAGAAATGCGCGCTCAAGAATCTGATTTTTTTAGTGACGACGACGATGACGGCCAGTACAACGTAGACAAAATGGAGTATGAAGAAAAATCTGCTCCAGAATGCGTTCGATACTCGTACATGCCTGTCCAAGATGTTCTAGAAGCTTTAGATCCAAAACATCCACTCATTCCTCCAAAGCCGGTCATGCACAACGCTGCCACTCAAACCGTTGATGATGATGATGAAGCTACCCCAAGAAAAAAACCCAAACTTTAAGCTTGCTCCTTGTTGATTCCTTCTGCATATAGAATAAATGTTTTTATAAATGAAAATAAAACTAATAGTTGTAGACATGGAAACTAACAAAGCGCCTGAAGAAACTGTGAAAGAGCAGCTCCCCGACAAAAAGGTATCAAAAATACAATTGAAAATTTAAATTAATCTATTATCAAAGTTGGACCAAGATGAATCAGAGGAAAACACCGCCAAGGCCAGTTGCAGCGAAACAAGTAGCGAAGAAGCAGACACAGAGGAAGAAGACGAATCAACAAGCAGAAAACGCCCATTTGTAAAACCAAACAAGACACGACAAGATAAACGCCGAAAACTCCTTCAACATCATCAAGAATTTAAACTCCAAGAAATCGCTCACCGCCACCTCTGTGATAGCCATTTTTCGGACAATATCGTAAAGAGGGATTGCAGCACCATCGACAAGAATAAAATGCCACAGCTAACCCAAGAAGGCTTCGACATGGTTCAAATTTTGTTACGCGACACCTGCCCCAATTCAATCTGCAAACTTACAACAAAATTCCTTGCAGGTCTCTGTTCAACCATTGCATCAATGGATCCAGAAGACGCTCGCTTTCCCGAGGATCTGTACATGTTTCATGTATATGAAACCACTCCTGCCGAGTTTTTTAGATTTGGCAGAAAAGAATTTGAATTTTAGAAACATTTTTGATTTCTGATTATAATTTTAGCACTTTATAGACACATGGAGCATCTAGAAAAGCCGAAACTCAAGCGTCACGATGACTTTGAACTCATGAAACTTGCAATGGACATTTACACAAATCACTACAAGTTTGATGACATTGTCGACGAATGCCGCCAAGTCCAAGAAAACATCAGAAAGGATCCAAAGCAGCGCAACATCATCACTCAACGCTGCTGGGATTTGCTTCAAGTGCTCGAGTGCGACTCTTGCACAAACCCAATTTGCATTTTGTCCAATCTCGTCCTGGCCGACTTGGGCGAGCACTACACCCTCGACGATTTGAAAAGTGAAAAAGCCAACGACATGCATTTACTGTACTATGCTCGCTTGTGCACACCACATGTGTATTTTGAGGACGGCCGAAAATTCCACTAATTGTATTCGTTGTTGATTTTGCTTCAATTTAAGAATGTATTGTCAAAAGCTCAAGAAACGTAAAACAAAGTTTTTAAAAGAGCTTGCCGCTCGCTACCTTGATGATTACGACAATTATGAAGAAAAATGGATCAAAACTGGTGTGGATCTTGGCAGTAATTTTGGCACTTTGAATCAAAAAGGTTATGATATACTGCAAATACTGCGACACGATGGATGTCCAAAAAACTGCTGCAAGTTCAAAACCGAATTTCTTGATGAAACTGCGTTAAAACTGCTCTGTGACGATCCTGCAAATGAAATTTACCCTAAACAACTTTTTTTGTATACATGCCTGCGCAATACACCTGCCGGTTACTTTCCAGACTTTGATAAACACAAACTGCTTGTAAAACGAAAAGATTTCCAGCTGCAAAAAATTGCGCGTCAAATGCTAGAAAATAAAAATAAATTTGAATATGCTTATAAATGCGCTCGCTATGATCAAAATGGTCCTCGCGGAGTTCAAATTTTTCAAGAGTGCTATGATCTCGTTCAGATATTGCGCGAGGATTGCTGCCCAAGTTTTACCTGCAAACTAACTACCAAATATCTTGATATGCTTGTTAAACAAAACGCCTTTAAAGACGATAACCACTACTTTATTGATGGAATGTCCATGTTTTATTACTTTGAAAATACTCCACAAAATTTCTTTAAATCTAAACCTGTAAAATATAAATCGAATAAATGAACATTGTGTGTAAAATATTTTTGTTTTTATTGTTAAAAGTTTGAAATTTACTGAAATGTTGCAAGCACTTTTAGTTTAACATTTGATGAAATTATCAATATTCTAGGTTCAGAAGATAATGCAGCATTTTATAGCAGGAATAATGTAAGCGGAATATATTTTTTTCAGCTTATGCTCGTGTCATCATTTTATCATTTATAAGTTGTCAAAGAGAGAATAGAATAGTGTAGACGGAACATATTATTTTTCGGCTCATGCTCGTGTCATCATTTTATCGTTTTAAAAGTTTTATTCTCTAGGGACGGTCGAAAAGGTAAGAATGGAAGAAAATTGGTCGCATTTTATTTGAAAAGAGGTAGCATGAAATTGGAAAAGGGGTCAGCACTGTGTTTGAATAAGGTTGATGGATGGGATTCTATTTGGATTCGGAAATGGCGCGCATTTGGTCAGGAAAATGTTTGTACAGTAGTTGATCAACATCGAGAAACATTTTCACAAAAGTCTCACGCGCTTCGCGATATTGATGCCGTAGAAAAGGATGACGGGTGTTCCACACGGTTTCGTAAACAATCTCTCGTATTCTTAGGAGCCGCTCTATCAAACCAGGAATGCGAGCACCTAGCTGATGAACTGTGTCTGGCTCGTAACGTACTCGGTCGTTGATTGCCACGGTAAATTGATCCATATACCTGCTAAAATTATATATCTCTTTGAGCAGTACGGGATTTGGCATTCCATCGGGGTTGACTGCCATTTTGGCAACTGATCATTTTCATTCGGGCTTCTTAAAAATAGACAGATTACAGTGCGTTGTATAATATCGATATTGTACCAGTCAGGAAGTACACTTTGGGTAATGAAGCACCGAAACAGTTTTGGACTTGTTGGGCAGTTGGCATGATGGAAAATGGTTTGTTCTGCGACGCCGTTTGATGAATGGTTTGTTCTGCCGATCGATATGGAGCACTGGTATCGGGGTCGAGCTGCAGCTCGACATTCAGCTCAGTTTGCCCGGCGACGAAGCTAAATGAACAGCATTTAGTTTTTAGCCATTTTTTCGATTACGTAACTATTACGTAATCAATATGCATATGTGCATATTATATGCATATGTGAATATTATATGCATATGTGAATATTATATGCATAATTATGTAACTATTACGTAATATATGAATATGCTTAATTATGAGTACATACGGAATCTGATGAACAAATTCGCCTTGAGCAGCGTGAGTGCCAGGGAACAGTGCTCCGAAACAGCGAGCCAATGAGCAGCAAGAGAAATTGGCTGAATGCGGGTCACTACTATAACTACTAGCGACCAGCTTTCGCGACTTTTGCGTTTTTCCCTTTCTCGGTCGGCTGCTCTTTCATCCTCAAAAAAGGGATGATATTTTTACGCCCAAAGTGTTTTTCAATGACAAATTCTGTTTTCAAAGATCTGACGCAAAATTTCGACTATTTTTTAAATAGTTTTAACAAAATTTGTTAAGAATTTCTGTAAAATCCGTTTTGGTCAAGAAAATTGAATCTTCCCACAATAGAAGCTTTCTGTTAGATTGATGGTGGAGCTCGAGAAGCGCCAATTTTCGGCTCAGCTAGAAAAACGCAGCTCTAAAACATGTGCGTGTCACTAGAATTTCACATTCTGCTCCTAAGAGCCTAACGTTCAAGCCTACTTTTGATGAAAAGCAAGTTTCTTCCGGCCGAAAATAAATTACTGATGCTCCAAGAATCGTGATTAATTTCATTTTTAAAATCATTGAATTACGACGCGGGCAAAGTGTAAAAACGCCGCTAGAAAATTTCTAAGCAAATCAAGTTTGTTCCTTTGATCCCAAAATGACAAATTGGTTTCTCTTGAAAACACGCACCATAACGGTAAAAAGAACGAGATCATCCCGTCTTTTTGGAGGGCTGAGGATGGTTGCAGGTTCAAAATGGAATTGATGAGGACGCTAGCTTAGACTATCGTGATTGAGACCGGGTCGGGTCCACCCTGTTACGACTTCAACCGCCCGGTGAAACAACTGATCCATTGAGTATCCCAATGATGCTCGAAGAATCGATGGATCTCCGTCGACAGTTCCCGAAAACTCTGAAAATGTCAGTGCTGAAAATATCTCATTTTTTGGTTTGGCAAACTGTGCAGAAAAACCTGAGTCAGGACCTGATTTTTAGTAGCTTCGCAAAATTGAGCCGCGCCTTTTCGTTTTAGCTCTTTCATACGACCCTGACTCAGGTTGCCGAGCCAAGAGTCCGTTAGCTCAGTATTCTTCCATGTGAAGGAATATTTAATCTCATCACGTGGCTCATTCTGGGAAGAAAAGAAAGACGCCTGAAATTCGGAGATTTGAAAAATTGAACCGCATAAATCACACGTGCTGTTTCTAGCATTTCTAGAGCACGTTCATCCGGGAATCCGACTTTTTTTAAAGAACAAAGATTCAAGAAAAAGACGGAAGAGATTTCATGGATCATATTTTGAGCGATAATTTTGGACGTAATCAAACACCATTTTTCTTGTGATGGATTTGCCTGCACTAAGTATTTTGCAATGTTTCTCATGATAAACAAGCCAAGAGCAAGGCGGATCGATCAGGCGCACGTTTTGGAAGCAAATCACCACTTCCACAAGTAGCTGTTTAGATCCGCTCCCGTTTTTTGAAAAATAATGAGCTCACCAAAACATGAAAATCCAAAAATCCGAAAATTTGATGATTTAAATGTTGAATGAACGGGGACAAGCGTTGATAAAATTCGATTTCGAGCTGAAGAAAAAAATAACATTGAATGCTGGAAAGTGAATAATGTTGCTTCAATATTGGTACAAAATCTAGTCAGTCAGAAGTGAGAATCATGGTATTTTCTTTCGTGCAATCATTGAGCAAACATTTGCCTTTATTAAAAAATTGACTCCATACTGTAAGGACCATACATGAGAAAATGAAAACAGAGAACGCTGAAAGACTTACCAAGAGTATCGAATTCTTCAAGAACATAATCTTCCCATATGTAAAAATCATTCTAAAAATTGCTCTCTTTGTGACTGATGTAGGGTAAGAATAACATAGACTTTGATCAATTTATATAAGTACCAACAACAAAACCCATATTTGGTATAACAATTTGCAATTAAGGGATCCCCCCCCTGTTTTTTCAAGTGGTTGATAAGGGTCTATATTTGGTATTTTCAGATTCCTCGTGTTTTTAGGATCATTTTGATGTATCACATGACCCCTTAACGAACATCTATCCCCGAAATTTTAGCCGAAAATTGCCAAAATGCATGTAAATTGTACTTAGCGTGAAAATCGGATTTTTTTTCGATTTTTTAATGTCATCGAAATAAGACATATAAGGGGTCTATCGAAAGCTTAGAACGTACTGAATAAGAAAATCATAACCGCACAAGAAATATCAGCCTTATGTTGGCGCTAGAGAGCGAAAAAACACCAAAAAACGCCAAAAATAGGTACATTTGGTTGTTCTTAAGAAAAATTTTTTATTACTTGACCAAATGACTTCTCTGTACTAGAGTTTTAAGATTAAACTCTACCCTTTCTAAATCCAGTCGCAGATTTATTCTAACTAAGCCTAAAAAAAAGTAGTTTGCCCTTGAAAATGACCGAAAACGGCGTTTTTTCAAAATACACTAACTTCAGCGCCCCCGTGTGGCAGGTTTGCGTTTATGAATTTTTATCTCTGTACTAGAGAATTAGTCGCTATAAAAGAGCTTTCATTTGCGCTATTGCACGCGTAAAATTGAAAGCCCAAAAAAAAGTAGTTTGCCGTCGAAAATGGCGAAAACGGGGGGGATCCCTTAAGTTCTGACATTTTTCTCGGAATCCAATACTTCCTTACAAAGAATGTTGTCTGGGGAGGCATAACGATTCTCATAACTGTTCTTTCTGGTTGGCTGGTGGCATTTCATTCACTTTTCAAATCTTCGCGATACAAGTCAAAGGGCAGTAGATCGGTTCCGGTTATTTTGTGTCATATATTTCTGTTTGGCCCTCTTCTGCATTTCTGGGAGCTGCTCAAGAATCCGTTTCGATCAGGTACGGATCTTGACACTGATATTTTCAAATTGCGGCTTCTGGAAGGAACAACTGAAGCGGCTCCGCAGGTAATCCAAAGAGATGAAGATTTTCCATTTTTAATAAAAATTTAGTTATTTCTGCAAATTTTGATATTTTTAAAATGTATGTATGTAACGGACAACGAGTTCTGCGACAAAGTCGAATATGGCGAGTGGTATGAA